CGTATTTATAGCTGCTCCACGTCTTGCCAAATGATCAAGTAGTAGGCAGATATAACACTAGAGGGCGGTCTTAAAAGCCCACTTGGTCAGTAGGTATGGTGCCATCTTCGGTCATTTTGACTGAGTTTTAACACATATTCGCAATAAGAGAGGAAGGCCTGACTTCTTCTTTTCCCTCCTCTAGCAAATTCAGCACTAGGACAGTAAGCAAAGAATGCTTGTCATCGAGGTTTGTCGACTGGCTAAATTAGTCATTCCTCTGCGGTCAGGATCGGGCCCAGACGATCACATGACACTTGAATGAAGGAGGTGTGTTTGGGGTCAACAAAGCGGCTAGACCGTGTGTAGTGCAGGTGATATGCGGGGGGCGAAATGCCTCACCAGCCCCCGTGCCTGAGCTCATCTCCGGTAGGGTCAAATCAGTGCAAATGCCAGCTCAATGACATCTATACTATGAATGAACAGTTTCCGTCCACGAAATTTTCTCAAATGTCAGTGGTCCTCTGTTGCCTATTTATGCATTCTAAACTACAGGTCAGGAATTCCTCGTGAAAATGAGGACCTTCGCATCTGTAATTTGTTTATTCTTGCTGGTTGCGCTCTCCTGCAAATGTACGGGAACATCTGTTGCTGATTTGCCCTTACATTTGATCCCCGCTTTGTATTACACACTGACCAAGTTCATTTTCTCCCTTAACTTTGTGGTGTTAGCTTCGGACACACCCGGTATCGTTAACCTTGACTGGGAGATTGAGGACAATCTTAGAGGACACGTGAACAAGGTCCAATCATTCACCGGAATCAGCGGACAACATTTCTTACGCATTTCGGGACTCAGTGTGGACAGCGTGAAGTACTGCAACTATCGAGAAAATGCTGAATACTTGAACATCACATTCACACTTGTATGTGACGTGACATTCGGCAGCATCCAACTCGACATATTCTCTAACGTAAGCATCGGCCTTGATGTTTTGGTGTTTATGCATAGCACACAGGTATACGTAATGTGTGTTTCTTTTAGACCTTGAAAAGCGTTAAGTTGTCTGAAATACTGAATATGCGATGAGGTATTCCATATGGGAACACTTCGTGGTTGGATACTAGTGTCGCAACACTCCGTTACTGATGCTAGTATTATTGCAGTTAATTACCCATACTGTAAGCGTTGGTAGAGTAGCATTGGCAGCCGTGGTGGCGGTGGTAGTAGTAGTAGTAGTACTAATAGTAGGATTATTAGTGGTATTCGCCGTATCAATGGTGGTAGACGGGGGAAAAAGTTTTCTTCAGTGTTGCGACACTGTATTCCCGCCAGTGGTAGTAGTATTAGTAGTAACAGCGGTAGTAGTGGTAGTTGTAGCAGTAGTAGTGGTGGTGGGAGTAGTAGTAGTATTAGTGGTAGCAGTAGTAGTCCGCCCGTAAGACAGGCTGGTGGGGGAATAGACAATTCTAAGTGTTGCGACACTGTATTCCCGCCCACTTCGTAGTATGTACAGGCTGTGTATGTTAACACAGGACTTCAATACACCTTCTGAATCGAGACAATGATTAGGGCATGAGATTTCACGCTTTCAGTTTTCAGCTCCGTTAAACACTACATAGGGAACTAATGCAAACTTCTTCAAAAACACACACACATGTTGTTCACTGTTCTATAGCCAATTCTGAATAATACACTGTATGTGCTCATCTGCTGATTAATTTGCACAGCAGATGTCTTGATAGCTTTTGGCTCATTTTCTTTGAAACGAAGTACTAATTTGATATGTTGTTGGCTCCCATAAACCGGTAAACCGGCGTATACCGATCTATTGGCTTCCCGAAACAAACGAATTCGTATGGTTGTCAGAAGTCACGAACGGGAAACTACTTTCAGGCCCAAGTCCGGCCAAGTACGAGCGCATGTTTGCGTTTCTGGTTCCAGCTAGTGGTCAGGGTTATGATTGACTGAATGGGGGCAGAATAAGTCCGAACTAGTAGCCTACCATTCTACCCCCATTCCCTGCACCTCCACCCCTCTTTGATATCTCTAGCTGTTCTGTTTGGACATGTGGAGATGAAACATGCAATTAATAGGAAAGATAGGCTCTATTAAGAATAACATTGTCAAAGACGCGTAATGCATGCGATGTTACGCGTGAGGAAGCGAATATTTGCTAAGAACCCTAACCCAAAACTGCACATGTCCGTGTCGAAAAATAAATACACAAAGGGGCTTTCCAACCCTGATACTTTAGCCGCACTGCTGTCTTGCGTTGACGAAATTAAATCACTGCGCCTCTCCCCTTACTGCAGGTCCTCGGTGTGGACGCCTACACAGCACCTACAAAGACCATTTATACCCGTGGGTACAAGGCCGACGCAATCGTCAGTGTTTACCATCCGACCTTCAAAATCAGTCAGCTCAATTTTCCGCATTCTTTCAAAGAAAGTTTTCCAAGGCTGGTGGAAAACGTAAAACAAAGGGAACGTCCCTCAGAAATAAAACGACTTTTTGAGTACATGTTTAATGACAATCAGACCTTTTTCAGAGAATATGACACTATTTTTGTTCGAAAATGGCACATGACATTTACCATCATATTGCTTTCTTCTCTCGTCTGTGTCAATTCTGGATAAAGCACGCTTGACATTTGAGTCCGTTATATTGTTCCGTCTTTTGCCCCACTTCATAATGACAGCCAGAACTGGGTATTGCTGGCGCGACTCTGTAGAGTGTGAATAGCAAATTAAGTCTAATCAGGTCTCGCTGTTACTGACCTATCATCAGTTATTCGATGCTGGACTACATGCTGTAGTTATTGCAAACATGATCAACGGGGAGCGCAGCGGCCTACCAGATGACTCAAGGTTTCGGAAAATTGCCTGTGGTTTTTTTTACTTTATTATCTTATTTTTGTTTGGGTGAGCAAATTTGCACGAAAAACAATAAGTCCTTTTAGGAAAGCCGACAAGGCAACTCATAGCATCATTTGCTTTAAACAAAATCTAAGTGTGGTTTTCAATGATAGAAAAGAGCCTTTTAATGCGCAGTTTGTTAGTTGTTGTTGGAGGCTGTCTTTCTGTTCCAAAAACAGCGCAGTCAGGATGACGCTAATTGGGTTGGCGGACAGGTAAGGAATAAAAGTTATTCTAAAAAACAGTCTAAAGTAAGGATAATGCTGTCAAAATAGCCCTCAGAGACGACTTGGGCATATCGCTGAACTACTCTAATTACTAAGAGACTGAGGGGGTAAGGCCACTAATCAGCTACTTGGATTAATTACGCAAATATGTCATCATAGTGGAGCAGAGGGACCAGCCAGGAGGTAGCAACGTTATTCTACACGAATACAGTTACTGCTTCGCTCTGTTGCATACTTCGCCTATAGCATGCGCCGCTGTGCGGCTGCTGGGTGTAATCGAGAGAGAGAGAACCCGTATGGCACAACGGAACGAGTGAGTTACGTAAAAACGGTCGGTGAGCGTCCCTCTACCATTGTGTATTCTCGATCGAAACCGACAGGATAACGGGCCCGTGGCTCAGTATTTAGAGGCGTTGGGCTTCTAACTAACAGATCGCGAGTTCGGACCTCAGATGTTTCACACTTCGGGGTTGGGTATGACTGGCTGACGACGGCACTATGCTATAAATGGCCATTCCAGTCTCCTTTGTCTTTGTCGGTAGTAAGATTCTGCTTATTACATAGCTACAGTCCTTAGAGCACCTTGCCCTATCTTCCAGGCCCAGTTAGATTTTAACACAGGAACATGATCTATGACAGAAAAGAAGAGTCATGTGTGCCAATATCCCAGCATCCTCTTACCCAAAGATCACAGCCAGCGCACCTGAGACAAGGTCGATGGAAAAAGGTTTTGTGGAGGCAAAATTAGAAATATTGCTCTGAGACTGATAGCCAGGAATCCACGCTGTTGCATTTCCGAAATAGCTTAATATTTAAAGAGGAATGTTGGGTTACTTTTGCGTACCCTAGCTACTCTTGGCTGTATGGGGCTTGCCATGCATTTCGCTGTAGCTGCTGATCAGCTGATAGCTTAAGGAATTTGTTGCGGTAATTTAATTTTTTGGAAACTGTAAATGTGCGCGTACACCTTTGTCAAGTAGCTTGAAATTGAGTAGAATTCATGCTGATATCCATTTCATAAAATGGACTGGATTCGCTGACACCTTGTGTGAATCGGCTTCAAAATTTAGCAGTAAGACCCATTGCATTCGGAAAGTTATTAGCCTTTCCTGGTCACTTCTGAGACATCGGCATGATTAGGCGGGACGGCACTTGGCTGCAGCAATGCATGGCGAAAGCAAAATTAGCAGTGGTATTTTGGCTCCTACCAATCGCGTCAGAGGATAAACTCGTCACATTGTGTCTTGGAGCTCGGTCTCTCTCTCAAGATCCACCTCGCAGTAACCCGGCGGCTTGAATGATAGGCAAAATGGCATTATTGACAAAGACGAATGAGATTTGAATGACCATTTCAGACTTCTTAGCTGGAATCAGTCAGACACACTGAGCTTCAGGATTTCTTGCAATCCCTGCGGCTCCGACTCCCGATCTGTTGGATGAGAGCCCAACGCAATAACCATTGCTTCACGCGCTCGTTGTCCTGTGGGTTGGAGTGTATGGATGTCAGCGGTGGGTTCACGTGATGGTCGTAGTGGTCGCTCACTTGCTCGCAGGTGAGACTACGTCTAGCGTCCACTTGCTGGCACTCAACTCTCACCTGTGGCTCCACGTAGCTGGGCTCTGCTCAGCGTCCACACCCCGGGCAACCGCCTCGACCGGTGGGCTAAACCAGGTGAGGGCGGTTTCCCCCTGTGCGCGTTGTTCCACGTGCACAGGGTACCGCGGACTCCGTTTGACGGTTGGTCGGATGGAACACCGTGTCGGCGCCGTCGTGAAGAGGTTTCGTCTACGGCGTTGGTCAGCTGGTTAGTGGAACATCGCATCGGCATCGTCGAGACGAGGTTCCGCCTAATACGCCGATGATATGCCGGTGCGATGGATCTTCGAATCGCCTTCGCTGACTCGCGCCCATCTGGTGCACCGCAGGAGACCGCCGGCATACGGTAATGTCGTAAGCCATTGGCAAATCCGAGTCGTTCTTCCACTGCCAAACAAATTCGTGGCCCACAGTGGAGTTCGGCCGGGTCGGCACATCAAATAGCCCTATTCAGGGACAGGGCACTGCTACTCTTCGGAGGGGGTCTGGAAAAGCTGGCCTAAAATTGCTGGGGAACCAGGTCGTCTGCAGGCGCACCGTGGTCGTAGACGCAAAACTCACGGTCGAAACAATCAAAATCGAAACAACAACAACCATACTCATTCTCCTCATCCTACCTCTTCTTCCTCTTTCTCTGCGTATTCTTCTGCCTATTCTTCTTCTTCGTCACCTTTTTCTCCACCTCCTTCCCGTCGCCCCACTCGTTGTCACCAGACTGGCAGGGTGAGTCCGCTCACTCTGGCAACCTGGAATGTCCGTTCCCTTTTAGACAATCCAAGGAGCAACCGACCGGAACGGAGGACGGCGCTAGTAGCCCGGGAGCTGGCGCGCTACAACGTGGACATCGCTGCACTCAGCGAGACCCGATTCTCCGAGCAAGGCCAACTGGAGGAGGAAGGTGCCGGCTACACCTTCTTCTGAAGTGGTCGGCCCAGGGCAGAGCGACGAGACGCGGGTGTCGCCTTCGCCATCCGGAACGACATCGCGGGACGCCTGCCCTGTTTGACGCAGGGCATCAAAGATCGCCTGATGAGCCTCCGTCAGCCTCTCCGCGCTGTGGGCGAATTCGCCACCATCATCAACGCCTACGCTCCGCCGATGATCAGCCACGTTGCCGCAAGAGACAAATTCTACGGGGACCTACACGCACTCCTGGCGACTGTGCCGAAAGCGGACAAAATGGTTGCCCGCGGTGACTTCAACGCCCGCGTCGGCACAGACCAAACTGCCTGGAGAGGAGTGCTGGGTCCCCACGGTCTCCGCGGCTCCAAGGACAACGGCCTGCTCCTCCTCCGCACCTGCGCAGAACACCGCCTCATCCTGACGAACACCTTCGTCTGTCTGCCGGTCAGTCAAGCCAGTCAAGCATTCGGCCGCCTCCAAAGCACAGTCTGAAATCGCCACGGAGCACGAAGCTGAAGATGTACAAGGCCGTCATCCTGTCGGCGCTGCTGTACGGAGAGGAGTCATGGACAGTGTACCCAAAGCAGGCAGCCGAATGAACAACTTCTACCTCAGTTGTCTTCGCCGCATCCTGAGGTCGAGTCGGCAGGATCGCATCCCCGACACTGATGTACTGGAACGGACGGGAATCCCCAACATCTACACCATGCTGAGACAAATGCAGCTGCGCTGGAGCGGCCACCTGGTGCGCATGGGCGACGAGCAACCACGCAAACGACTCTTCTACGGAGAAGTCGCCACGGGTTCTCGCCGTCAAGGAGGCAAAATTCGTCGAAACAGGGATACTCTGAAGTCCTCCCTGAAGTGCCTACAAGGTAACCCGACAACCTGGGAAGACGCCGCCTGCGATCGACCGACATGGAGGAGGACAGTGAAAACAGGCGCTGCGATCTACGAAGTTAACCGCATCGCAGCCGCCAAAGTGAAACGCGAAGCCCGCAAATCACAGCTGCGCCCAGTACGCAACTCCGACGCACAACCGCATCCAACGTCTCCTCGATGTCAACGGACATTCTGGGCTCGAATCGGACTTGTTGGCCTTTTTCGGATCAACTGCGCCTCTCGAACTGCACCCAATATCGTCCCCTCGCCCGCCTCTTTCTTGTCCTCTCCGCCTCCAAATAACTCTGACAATTCTTCTGTACCACCACTTCCAAACTCCTCCTTCTCCTCCTCCTCCTCATCCTCCTCCTCTACCTCCTCCTCCTCCTCCGCCTCGTCCTCCTCGTCCAGCCATAACACGGCTGGTTCAAAACAGTGACTGTTCCTGTCTATTGCATGCACTGGATGGTCATATCTGCCGGTTACAATTGGTCAGCTCAAGTTCTCCTTTTTCGGAGGATAGCGACCTTGTTCCAGTAAACGCACGGGTGCCTTAAACCTGCGGAGACTACTTCAGTAATTGACGGCCAAGATGGTGTGGATTTACGATAACCACCAGAACCCTTCAGTTGGGAATGAGGGGGACATCAACGGGGAGGGAATTATTCTGATAAGGACCGCGAGGTGTTAACTCTCGCGAATGGAAGAGAATATGCGCATCCCAGGTTCTTGTTTAAAAGAAGACGAAGGCACGATCACTGAGACGGTAGATTTATTAGTCTTAGCTTTCGAACTCGAACTGGAGTTCATTATCAGAGACTGCTAATGTGCAGCAACGTGTGAACATCTGCATAGTTGTGCCGTGAGGGGGGGGGGGGAGGGACTACGTCCGTGGCTAGGTCTGGTTTGTGCTGCCTAACCCATAATGGTTCCCCGGAGGGGTGACGGCGTTTGTACTTAGCGGCGATGTGAGCTGCGACACCAGGCTGCGAGGGCGGAGTGCCTGATAACACTCAGGCAAACCAATGTGTCTATTGATAGAGCTGGTGTCCCACACCCACGCCTCCAACAGCTCTCGCCCCGCTTTGTTGTCGGCTCGCATCAATATCAGCGTGTTGACGAGGTCGAACTCATGGCCTTCCTCCAGCGTGTGGGTGGCGACTTGAGATAGTGGGTCGCTCTCCGAACGGCCGGTTTGTGCTCAAGTATTCGTGGGCTGAGACGTCGGCCTGATAGGCCTAGGTAGTGGCAAGGACAGCTATGGAACGGGATTGGATAGATTACGCCCGACGGCTCACCCGCGTCCAGCCGATCCTTCATTTTCATGATCCTGCTACGTATGCTAGCCGCCGGATAATGAGCGATGCCCACGCCCAACTCCTACGCAATACGTTCTGTAGCCTCGGGCACACTCTTTATATACGGTAGGGAGTGCCAAATTGTTGGTGTCTCTCTTCCGTTTGTCCGTCGTGGGTGCGTGCGTATGCAGCTGCTGATGAAACTTTTTAGGTAGCCGTTCCTCGTCAATTGGTCCCTGAGATACCGTAGTTCTTGCATCCTTCCTTTGGGCTCGCTACAATGCGCTTTTGCCCGATCGAAAAGTGCCCTCACACAGCTCCGTTTGTGGTTGCTATGATATTTGAAGACCTGGGTTTTATTGGGCGCCTTTCTGCACACTGTAGTGCTGAGTTTACCGTCAGATGTGCGCGCAACCAGCACGTCAAGGAAGGGTAGTTCCTCGGTCTCTTCGTCTTCTCTTGTCAACTGAATGTCGGGGAATATGCAGTTAAGCAGGTCATGAAAACCCCATAGTCTGTCCTTTTCAATAATTATGAATGTATCGTCCATGTATCGGCGCCAAAACGCAGGTTTGTACTGGCTGAAAGCAATCTTTTCCAGCTCTTGTAGGAGCAATTCCTCAACTAGGCTGGATATTGGGGAACCCATGGGTGTTCCTTTGATTTGTTCGTTTGTTCTGCCATCGGAGGTTCGTTGGCAGAATGCAAAGAGCATTAGGTGCTGGATCTTTAGAAGCCCTGTCGTTTAGTCGTACTTTTACTCGAGGCATTTGCGTAGAACGTCGCTCGCCAAGTCTAATGGGATGGACGTGAAAAGTGAGACAACGTCAAAGGATACCATGATTTGGTCGGGTGGAATAGTTTTTTTCCCGAATGTCGGCAAGGAATTGGGAGGCCGAATTAGACTGACGTCACAGAGCCCTCTCGGAGAAAACTAAGTTTTTGGGACATCCATTTGGCTAGACTGTATGTGGGGCTGTCTTTCAGGGCAACGAATGGCCGCAGAGGAACGCTGGGTTCGTGGATTTTTGGTAGTCCATAGAACCGTGTCGGTTAGTTTTGTCTGGCGCCATTGGTCAAGCGAGATTATATTGCTGCGCCGGAGTCCGCTTAAGAGTCCAGTCAGCTGGCCAATCATCGACTTAGCCTGCGAGGCGGGTACGGACCTGTAGGATTGTTGGTCGTCCAAGAGAGCTTGTGCCTTCTCGTTGTAATCAACGCGGTTCATCACAACTGTTGCTCTTCCTTTGTCGGCCGGTAGCACTATAGTATCTTTGTCCATTTTTAATCTCTTCATTGCTTCTATTTCTGCGGGTGACATATTGCTAGCGTGCCTGTTCGCCATCAGGAGAGACGTAACCTTTTGGCGCACCGTGTGTTTAACCCCTTTGGTTGCGTTAGTTCGTACTAACATGGCCTCAAGTGCGGCAATGAAGTCGGCTGGGGTGGCATCGGCAGTGTTAAAACTGGCTTCGTGGCTCAACACTCCGAGTTCCGGTTCGCTTAACTGTTTCGACGATAAGTTGTGTACCACATTTTCGTTGGTATTGTTTTCGGGTTTCAATTTGACGACTTTTTGGTCCAGATTCATGCGTTTCACTTCCTGTCTCGTGTTTGCCAGGGTTGATATTGTCCGGTCTAGACACTCAGTAACTGAGTCGCCGATTAATGCCGCGCACTCCGCCCTTTTTTCGGTGTTAACTCTGTCGGTTGTGAGCGGCCGGCAGAAAGCGATTACTGGTCTCGCATGAGTAGTCGTGATCTTAGTGAACGTGCTAGAACGATGCAATTAAACAACCTTTGACGCGGTGCTCAAATGCAACCGCTGGCCCCTGTGAGGCATGGCCATGCGGCGGGTAATTAATGACGAGCGTCTAGACGGCAGTTTGTTCGCGAAAAAGACGAACCGGAGCGCCGTGGTAACTTGTCCTTGCATTTGTCTACGGTGCAGCGTAATTGAGGCAAAGTTCTCTGACATAATCCGCATAGCTTCTGCAGTTTCCCCCGTGAAAAATGAGATTGAACGAGGACGGACAGGTCACCACGACCGACCAATGCTGCGCATTCACCGCGAAATCCTGAAGACCCTTATTCGCATTAAGGAGTTCGCTGGAACCCAAACCGTCGTGCATGACGCCGTCTGCAGAGCACCAAGCATGCACGACACTCCTCCCCTCAAATGTGTTTGGGTGGAATCCAGCTATCAAGTTTCTGCACTCGTGGGCCTTAATTGATATGCCAAACTGTGATTAAATGATAATCGCCACGGTTTCCGCTATGAGTTGTTTTACGGCAGTCCAGTTGACTAGCCTTCCCCGACTGGTCGCTATCAACGGTTGAAGAGACTCCGCGACCCACCCCCGCCTCGGAATTGAAATTCTTCCTGTTGAGATCCCCTGACCGAAAAAGATGGAACATGCACTCGCCAGCCGTTCCTTCACCGAATGTGGCCGTAAGATTTTGCGCCGATCCCGCTGCAGTCCGACCAAGTTTGAGTTGGCACAGAAAAATCACCTCCTACGTTCCATTTCCCGGCTTATTTGAAGATCTGAAAGGAAAATGGGCAAGAAGCGAAAACAGATCCGGACGTATTCCGCACTGACCTAGCATTCAATCTCTACCTGACAAGTTTTCGTTCCGACCCGCACTAATGAAGTAGCCCCTACGAAAGACAGTCTACCTATTCAGTACACAGCGACCCCGAAGTGCGCAACAGCTGCCGAGTGACGAGAAAAGTGGTTCACCAGTCCTTTGTTGTAGGAGAACAAACAAAAACTGGAGTCTCCCAACATCTTCCGTTCGCTAGGTCAATTCGGCTACTTATTACTACGGAACACTCAACCGGGCATCCGGAATCCATTGTCTGTGCGTCCACCTTCAAATAACCGAACCGAAGGCCCGACATTGTGTTGGAAGTGAACGGGCCCCAAATCGCACAACAACTCGCGCACCTAGTACGTAAAACTGTCATTAAACCCAAAGACCAGTTAGATCCCAGGACCGGACAGCACTCGCACTCACACAGGACAAACAAGATGCAAGACGGGACGCCACACATGCGAACACGGAGCGGCCCACATATCGCAGACAGGCTGCTCCTCCAATTACGAAGCTGTGAACCCAGACGCTCGAGCGAGTGTAGGACAGGTCGTAAATAAATCACGGGCAGGAGCGCTGATAACAACTCCACCAATGAAAACACGCATTTCCGATAGCGTATGGTGCTCCGGACACGCACTAGCGGGCCCGAAAAACAGGCTGGTGATTGGTAAAAAATTCACCATAAATGCCGCGTTCCCTGTTTCCGTCCGCTTACACCTGGAGATGGGTTCTGGTAAGAACCTGAGAGCTCAGATCAAATCTAGACTCGCGAGGACTGAGAAGTCTTTTTAAACAAGCCACCACTAAGCGTGCGGGGATTCAAACAACCTCGAGTTTAAGCCCCATCTTTTCCGAGAACTCGGAAGCGCAACGGCAGGAATCGGAGAAATCACCGTAACAATTAGAAGCGTACACAAGCCCGTGGTCTTTGGTGAGAATTATCCAAGAAGTACTTTGAAATTTAGCTGGTAGGGTTTATTCCACCACAAGACATAGCATTATCGAGTAAAGAAATATAGTTAACAATGGAATACATCCGGGGCGTCCCTATGGAATTTCAGGGGCTTCGAGAGACAAAGCAATGGATGAATTGCCGATGCATCACCTTTGCGTCCGTCGTTCCTGGAAGTCCGGTTATCCTGTCCAGGGTGGGTCTGGAGCACATGCTCCAGACTCTACGTCCAGGGCAGTGGCAGATTCCTAGACCGACGAGTTATCAGCTGGCCAGGATTATGCAAACTTTCCCAAGCCGATGCGTTGCACATCAAGCCGGTCGGCTCGATGGATCATGATCCGAGGAGGACACTCGTCCATGCAACTCCGCGTCGGCAAAAGATGCCAGAGTCCTCTGATTTTTGGCCTCTGGTCAGGCCTGGTGAAGGAAGGGAAATCTTTAAACAGCAAGAAGGGAGGGGCAAGGAAAACGAAGAGAATAAAGTCAAGTCCTCAAACACCTCTTTGCATAGCCCTCCTTAAGGGGACAGCAGGCGCGCGCGTCCGAACCCGAGCTGACTGCGTAAAGTACAGACCTGAGACAGTATCGGTGACGGGCATCTGTGCAGCGTGTGCTATCATTTACAAATAATGGGACACACCCTGAAGTGCCACTCCAGTCTGTCTGTAGATAGTGAATAACTCTTTGTAGACATTTCGGAAAGAAAAGTGGTTTTGTCGAAGACGAGAAATACAGCCCCGACAGTTTGGCATAAATATATAAGATTCGTCCAACAGGATAAAGTGTGCAGCCGCAGGTTTGGCCCTCGGTGGGGAGAGTCGGAAGCTCGCTCGGATGAAGGGCAACAGTCATGGCAACTGTTTGTTTACGCTGGATGTGCAGGAGCGAGATTGTGTTCAACAAGGTTTACCACCCCGCATACTTCCATCAGGCGCTGTGGACAACGCGCAGAAACGCTGCGGAAAACAAACCTGAGCGTGCGCCGAGTGAACAAGAAGTTGGTGGGGGAGGCAAAAGAAAACCGAGGCAGCAAAAACCCTTAAAGACTAATCATACCTGAAGAGGAGTCCAAACACCCAGTACACCAATAAGGATATCGTCCCAAGAGTGCAGATTCTACCGAGTCATCATATCCTGATCATCAAATAAAACTTATCGGACAGAATACTCGTTTGGAAACAAAAGCGAAAGGTAACGACTTGCGCGTTAGATGGGCAATACCGACGCCTGGGACTGCTGCCAGTGCTCAAACAGAGTTCGGGGAAAAGCACTGAATGCATGCCGTGTCGCGGAACGCAGGGCAAGGAGACAAGTTACACTTTCAAATCATCTTCAGGCAGGCAGCAAAGAGGTGCTGCAGGATGTGCAGTCAGGCGGGGCCGTTAAATAACAATAGATCAGGGTTGCTGATCATGACTGAATCCAGGAATCAGAGTGTAGGAAGATCTGTAATAGGTTTGAATACAGTCAAACTAGAAAACTTTAAATAGGCCAACATGATGACCTCCAATAGGCAGAAACCGCATAAAAAAGTCAAACCGTGTACCTGGAGACTCACAATATTCGAAGACGCGGTAGACATCAGGGTATGGGGTTCAACAGGCATACGCGCAGAGCTGGCAGAATCAACCTTGTTTTTGGTGTATGGATGGGGGTGACAACTCCAAAGAATGAAAAGACAGGAAGCCGAGGTGGCACATTGTCTGAACCAGGGAATATAGATTCTAAACCTGTACACCGAAGTCCTACGAAGTAGACTTGAAGGTTAAAATAAACTAGGAGAAGGATTATGACGATGTGCAATTGGCTGAGCGCAGATCAAGAACCTCCTAGCCGACACGCGAATAGCACGGAGGCAAACTTGCCAAGATCGGACGGAAGCAAGCCCTACACCCACCTCACACTCCAAAGGACAAAAGAGCCCCATTACGGATGAGGCCTTGTCCCGACGAAGAAAATCAGAGCCATAAAAGCGTCTTCAACTGCACAAGTGGAAAAAATTACTACCGAAATAAGAGCACTTTCTTGGGATCACGCGCTATTCAACGAAAGAAATCACCCATATCACTGAGGCACGAGAGGCGACCTACGGACGTTTGTGGTTTGAAGGACACAAGGCCGTGTTCAACAATGACAAGTCAAAACTAGGGGAGCGAACCACTCGAGGGGGAATCTGGATGACGCAAGGTGGGGGCGGCGGCGGAAGCCATTAGGAGGTTGGGATGGCCAGGAATCCATGGCCGATTCCCGGTCGCTGCTACAACGCAGAACATTCCCTACACACGTTCGTGACGTCTCCCTACGAAAACTGACAACAGCACTCGGCACAGACGCTGGCACACACGGGGTTCAGTCAGTGACGTGCATCCGGCACAGGAGACCAAAACAGAAAGGCGTCGACCCTGCAGAAAGAGAATTAGCACTGATGGACCATTAGTAAGTCAGCAAACCCTGTGAACGGATAACAGCCGGGCCCGAATGTCATAAAAAAAATCGCGCAGACTGCTACTGGCAGATTGCACACGCAAACCCCTCGGAAAGATGGACACAACCTGAAAGAACGGGACATACGGAGTAAATCGTTTCAAATCCCCAGCGGATCTAAAGTGGCGAGACATATCACAATCTGCCGACCCCGGTCAGCACACCGATTCCAAGGGTTTGAGAACTTTCACAAGTATTTGTTAAACTTAAAAAAGAAAGCCTCAGACAAGCAACATGCAAAAGAAACGAAAACGCCAAACGACGGTGTTTGTACCCTGAAAACAAACGGAAAATTGGATAAGCGAGAGTTGGCGGCTAAATCCGGTCTGGGGATGCGGACACGAACGATGGAGAGCTGCGCCGACTGGAGCAACTGGCGAAACAGGGGAGAGACGGAACGAGTTGCATGGTTTTATTTGACCAACGGTTTACGGTGTGCATTTGGGGGTGGGGAGGGGAGATGTATGAATAAATAAGAACGCCGACGATCGTGCCACAGAGGACTGGAAACACACTTGTGTATGCGGGTGAGGGGGGGGGGCAAGGTGAGAGAACAACCGAACTCGAGTCGAGGGAGCATAGGTGGGAGAAACATCAAACGAGAGATTGGGCGAAAAGGGACGCACATACGGTGCATGTAGATGGCCGTGGGGGTGAAGGAATAAAACACTGAATTGAAAAGGAACTTTAACGGATGAGGAGAGGTAGGAGTCGAAATCTGCCCGACGCAGATAGGGTGGGGGGGAAGAGTAACGGACCTCCAAATGCGTAAGACAGCAGCGGTAGTAGCGGCATACCTTGAAAGAGGACATTCAGGCAGGAACACAGTGATTTGAAGGCAGACACAACCCCTTTACAGAGTGAAACCTAGACCAAACCAATGAGAGAACTGTGTAAGAACACCAAAAAAGCAGCATGGGCTGAGATGCGCACCGCAAGACAGCTTACGGGGACTGAGACAACAAGACCTGCAAGACACTTTTTTTCAGAGAGCAGCCGAACAGCCCTCAGTGTGGGGCAAGTAGTGCAGATTCGGACCTAAGGTAGCTAGCCAAAGTTGAGAGAAGTCCACCTAAGATAAGGAATACATTTTGCGAGTGAGTTCACAAACCGGAGATCAACAAGCACAAGGCCAAGAGCAGATCAATGAGCACGTGACTACTCGAACTGGCAAAGACTAGCGTTATGGGTTGGATGGTAGTGAGGATACTTTATGCACAAATATGAGCTGCCCTTTTCGTCAGCAAATTTTAGATAATCCGAAAGACTGTGCCTGAATGGTGAATAGCACCTATGCCAACTCAAAAAACGGTTCAAAGTACCAAGAGCACACTGAGAGGACTTACCCAAATATGGTCCCCTTTGGCAAGTCAGTTTCCGTAACCATCGCCTGGCTGGAAAGAAGGTATTTAGAGCAAAGTGTCAATCGAGGTAAGAAATAATGAAGTGCAAGATACGTATATAACTGACCCCAGGTCATGTCGTTTTCTACTATGCTTCCGGGTTGGTACAAATTAGATTAGGCAAGACGAGTTACACGACAACCTGGCTTCGGGCTACTCGGAACGTCCACCGGTAGCGGGTACTGAAACGACCTTCGCGAAGGTTAGCTCCGAAGTAAACAGGCTCCCGGGTCCGGAAAATAGGCAATCGCGTACTGGCTGCGACAATGCCAGTTGTGAAAATCCCCATAACTATGTTCAGAAGAGACAGTGGCGAGCGAACGTTCCTTTCGGTAACTTATCGTCAGGTCGGTACAGTTATATGGGACGGGGTACAGTGAGTGAAAAAATCGATAAAAGTTGGTTTTTAAATTCCAGGCTAGGCGAGAGCGGAAGGGCACAGAAAGTTTTATGTGGTTAGTCAACCTTTGACCACGGTAAGCGCGAAGCCTGAACGAGGTTCTTTTGGGCGCATAGAGTCGGCTTTCGTAACCTGGTGGCGGTCGCTTCTGTTGTTGCTAACAGGCGCTCGCCCAGCTGCTTAGGGTAGCTCGAGGAGACCTTATAAATCAAACGAAATGCTTCAGCAGGGTCCACATGATGCTCTGAATCCACTGCATGCGCAAGGATGGCGCTGTCTATTCTCCTAGTTTCCCGTTTTGCCAGCCATGGGGGAAGGTGCTCTCGTATTCTTTTGGAAAGGCACCGACTCGTACGACCAATATAACCTGCTCAACAGAAGCAAATGAATGAGTAGATGCACATTGGGGCGGTCTGAGGTGGCAGCCTATCCTTGCCTTCTCCGCGTAGAATAGGGCTAGTAGAGAATGATATGCGAACCCTTGCTGCTGGGAAGGTTCCCGAGACAGCTTGGTCAAGGCGGCTTCTTAGGAGCTCACTCGCGGCGTCTCCTTGGAAGGGAACTTTGAGGAACAAAGGTATCTTTTCGGCGGTCAGTGTGGTGGGTTTTGCGGACCGTTCGGCAATGTTCCTTGCAATGAACCTGTCAGGATACCCGTTTTCACGAAACAAGTCCTGGACTTTTCTAATTTCCTCCTCGACACTGTCTGTTGAACAAATTTCTCTAGCCCTTTGTGCGAAACCCCTGACTAGAGTTCGTTTTTGTTGGAGAGGCACGAAACTAGCGAAGTTCATGTATTGTCCAGGCCAGGTTTTCTTCCGACAGACGCTTTTTCGGATGCTACCGTCAGATCTTCTGTTTAGAAGGACATCTAAGAAAGGAAGCGAACGGGCAGATTCCATCCCCAACGTGAATTTTATCGACGGATGTGCTCGGTTTACAGCATTCAGGAGGGCAGCAACGTCGGTTTCTGTGATTGCACTCGCAAAGATATCATCAACGTAGCGACCGTAATGTTTCAGCTTTTTGATCTGGTCGCTTAGCTGACATCTCTCCAGCTTGCCCATGAAGACGTCGGCTAAGAGAGGTCCAAGAAGCGAGCCCATAGCAACGCCGTCTATTTGTTTATAGAGTTGGTTGTCAAAAAGGAACTGTACATTTAATGTGCACCCATATAACTGTACTGGCCTGACGAGGAATAATGATCTGCAAGATACGTATATAACTGACCCCAAGTCATGTCGTTTTCTACTATGCCCGGGGCAAGACTGCAGCCGTACCGGGAAGACGAGTTACACGACAGCCTAGCTTCCGGCTACTCGGGACGTCCACCGGTAGCGGGTAGTGTAAAACGACCTTCGCGAAAGTTAGCTGTGAAGTAAACAGACTCACGGGTCCGGCAAATAGGCAGTCGCGGACTGGCAGCGACAATGCCGCAAGGACGCGGAGGGCTGATACACCGACTGCCTTAAACTGTGCTACATGACCCGATGGCGATACTGTGACATGCTGGCCGCTAACTGACATCAAATATGTTTTTTGCCTTGTGGTTAGGTTCGTGAATCGAAGCGCTAGGGAGCAACCTTGAATGAACAATCCGAGCGACTGTTGGGGAACCGCCCAAAAATCTCATGAAAATACAGTAGCACGATCCAAGTTAAGGCGTCCAAGGGAAAAGGCGCGCTCCGCAGCCCTGACCCAGCGGTGCGGGCAAGTAGCATGCGGGTTGGACTTTTCAATCGGAAACGTTGGGATGTGCGAACATTTCTAGATCCTCTAACCAAAAGTCTGACGGCGTGCGGTCTTCGTTAGTACACTGTGGATGATTACTGCCTGTCTGAAGTCGGAGTCCTCGACTAGGTCGCTAAGAAAATCAAGATCACGGGAGTCGACTCTCACTTCACTCTGTACCACAGGGACCCACACGACTCTCTGGTAGACGCCTTATGGCGACCTACCTCTTGGAACCGAACGAACCGTGTAATTGCATGGGAATCAGTCAATGACCGGACGACTTATGTGCGGTCACTTTACAAACATCACCAACATCAGCTGCCAAACAGCGCCATAAAGATATTTTTCACTTCTCCGCCGTGGCCTGTTGGTTGTTGCCGGAGCTGGAATAGCCGAACTGGGCTTCGGGAGTCTCCAAACCGTCGCCTTATTGGCCGGTTTAGGCCCCGTTCTCGGTGAGAAAGTGGTGAGAAAATACAGTAGCACGATCCACGTTACGGCGTCCAAGGGAACAGGCGCGCTCCGCAACCCTGACCCAGCGGTGCGGGCGAGTGGCAAGCAGGTTGAACTTTTCAATCGGAAACGGATTCTTAGTACTAGACGTAGGGATGTGCGAATAGTTCTAGACCCTCGTGCCCGAAGTCTGACGGGGTGCAGTATTAGTATACTGTGGACGTCTACTGCCTGTCCGAAGCCGGAGTCCTCGACTAGGTCGCTAAGGAGATCAAGATCACGGGAGTCGACTCTCACATCACTCTGTACCACAGGAACCCACACGACTCTCTGGCAGACACCTTGTGGCGACCGACCTCTTGGAACCAAGCGAACCGTGTACTTGCATGGAAATCAGTCAATGACCAGACGACCTATGTGGGACGTAACGGTCAGTTTACGGACATCACCGTCTTCTCCATGTGCGTACCAACATCAGCTGCCAAACAGAGTGATAAAATATTTTCACTTCTCTGTCGTGATCTGTTGGTTGTTGCCGGGGCTGGAATAGCCGAGCTGGACTTCGGGAGTCTCCAAACAGTCGCCTTATTGGCCGCTTTAGGTCCGGTTCTCGGTGAGAAAGTGGTGAGAAAATGCTGAATTTTGCTGATCAGAATCGACAGTTTGTCCCCAAAAAGTGCTTCCAACATGGCTACAAGCATCTCTTGATCTGGTATTCAGACAACAGAGAAAATTCAACTCAAGATAACAGAAGCTGCGCAACAACTCGACAGTTCCAGCATTTACTGTGAAAATTCAGTAGTATTTGACCGCGAGACCCCAAACGATCGCTTTTAATCTCGGCTTTACTGGCAAAATCGCCCAAACTGTTTTTACAGGCGTTTTGGATAGAGACTTCTGCATGTCTGCAGAACAGCCCATTAGGACCGCAACTCTGCAGTGTCAGAGGATTTCATAGCCCTCGAGACAAACAGTTGGGTTTTTGCCAATAATAGACTGTGTCACTGTTGTCAAATCGACACTCATACAGAGTGGGCGTGGTTAGATGCACAGGACGGGAGATAGACAGTCTTGCCGGCCAACAGTCTAGCCTTCCGTGCGGAGGATGCCGAACTCACGCGGAGATAATGACGAAATGGATGGTGGGGGGGGGGGGTTCCACCAGTACTGCGGGGAAAATAACCGCCACTTACGCGTTTCATGTACATTCGAGAGGAGTCGGAGCGCTGGTCGCCGACCATGTGGTGACGGAGCGTAGGGCGACTGCCGCTGCTGGGACCAACTCGGTGACGAGAGAAGCCCCGCTGGCTGCCGCCATCCGAGGAGGCAGAGTTGGATAGCATCGACTGCTGCTGCTGCCCATCGTAGTCTCCACGGGATGGCCGGCGGGAGTAGGGGTCATGGTGTCCAGGCGGTCCACCCTTGCCGGAGCCGTTAACTCCGCGGCCAGCTGAATGACGAAAAAGGCGTGATTACAAGTCATTTCTGACAACTGCAACAATAACCACCAATAACGGAATGCACGGTGTTAACAATAAGGAGGCAGGAAGGCCAACTGGTCGTTTTTTGTCTGTTCTCCCGCTGCAAAGGACGGGCGTGAGAGAAGCGGGATACAGGGGCCAACGCGAAAAATCAAGCCAATGGCCAAACCCTTTTATGACTGAGGAAGTGTATTAACGGAGAACGGGTAAATTTAGCCAGGGAAGACGGGTAGCCCGTTAACCTGGCTCCTGGCCACCCAACGCGTCCACAGGTGGCGGATAGTGCAAAGGCCTTCAGTGAAGGCTAACTGCGAAATAAGCAGACCCAGGTCTGACGAGTGAGCAGTCGCGGGGCAGCAACCAACAGTTATACCAGGGTGTGGAGGGCTGAGGTCTGGCACGCTGAGAGCCTTATAAAAAAGCCGCAAAGCCCGATGACGGCACCGTGAAATAACGACCGTGAACCGCAATTAAATAAGTTGGCTTGCCACCGCCGCCTTGTGGTTAGGCTTATAAACCAATGCGCTAGAGGAGATAACCTCGAACAAACAATCCGAGCTGCTGTTGACGACCCGGTTGTACTCAAAATTCCCTCATGAAATATGTCCGACTACAGTATTACGGCCCATGCTACGGCGTAAGCGGGAACCGACGCGCTCCGCAACCCTGGGCCAGTGGCGCAAGCGAATAGCATGCGATCTGGACTACTCAATCGGGAACGGACTCTTGGTATAAAATACTGGAATTTGCGGACGTTCCTGGACCCTGGCACCCCAAGTCTACCCGCACGCACCCTTAATCGGTACAACGTGAATGTCTGCTGTCTGTCTGAAGCTCGAATTCATCACCCAGGCTCTTGGAAAATAAAGATCCCTGGGGTGGACTCACACTTCACCCAGTACCACAGCGGCCAATGCGGGTCTTTTGGTAGACACGGTGTGGCGATTGCCCTCTCGTAACAAGCGGACCTCGCGTTACTTGCTTGAGAACCGGTCAATGACCGGATGGCCTACGTGCGACTGAAGAATCCCTTCACGAACATCTCTATTGTCTCTGTGTACGCACCAACTTCAGCCGCCGAACAGCGTGATAAAGGGGCGTTTTACTCGCAGCTGCAGGCGTTAGTTGAAAGACTCCCTCGCCTCGATCTGCTGATTGTTGCCGGGGGTTGGAAGGGTCGGACTGGACCTGACGACTTGACGAACAGTCATCTAATTGGCCGTTTTGGGTTTGGTTCTCGATGTCATGATGGCGAGATTGCAGAACTTCGCTGATCAGAACTGGCTGCTTGTCACCAACACGTGCTTCCAGCATCGCAACAAACATCCGCTGACCTGGTATTCAAACGACGGTCATACGGCCAATCAGACTGACTACATTCTAATCAACTCAAGGTTCCGCAGCTGGATTCACGGTAGATCGATGCGTGGTGCCGAGACTGGTAACGTCCATGGGTTGGACTATGTCCAAGCTTGAAAGTTCACCTATCACTCGTGCCAAAAATTCCATGTTGTAGACGCCTCGATGTTGCAAAATCCGGCAAACCAGCACTACCGAGGCCCTGGGCAGAAAAGTGTCTATGGATCCGACGCGGCACCTCCATCGTGACTAAGATTCGCGAGTACCGTGCATCTGTCCTTCTATATGGCTGCGAATGCTGGGCTGTGCGCGTGGAGGACGAGCGAAGACTGGAGATGTTTGACCAGCACTGCTTGGGGACCATCCTTCGAGTGAAGTACACCGACTTCGTCTAGAATGAGGTGGTCCGCACTCGATGCGACAACATCACAAGGATAACTCAGGCCATCCAAGAAAGACGATAGAGGTAGTTTGGACATATTCTTCGTCATCCACCTCAGGAGCTCAGTGTTAATATGCCCTCAATCTGGCACCATGATCCCATTGGAGGCGTTGAAGTGGCCAGCTCAAAACCTAGCTCGACACGGACAGCCAAGACCGGGAGATGGTTCGTGGACTTTCGGTATCCGATCTCCGCCGTTGGCGAGGGGAATGGGTTGAATTATCTAGATCTTTTGCCGCGGATCGTCATGCGTAGAGAGGTACAGTTTGGGATATCATTGAGGCCGGCTGGATTAGGCATAATCGCAGCCGCAACAAGTTCAAGTAAGATAAATTAAGAGAGTACGCTCAAGCCAACAATGTAACAGTAGGGCTTCTTGAGGTGAATCCAGAGAAACTCACTGTAACGGTCACCGGAGTCCTCCATGCCTGAAAACCGTGGACCACCGCCGGTCACGTCCTATATGAAATAAAGACAAGGAGTGAATTGGGACGTGAACGCGGAGAACTGTTGGACATAAACACAAAAAAGTGAGAAAATGCGTGATAAAAAAACACCAGTTCCCAGACGTAACGTGCCCAAAAGTAAGGCGACAAAGATAGAAGGAACAGTGGTGTACTCGTGAAGATGCTGGGACTGAAAGCCGAGAAAAAGAACAGTCGCAAACGAGTCAGCGAGTTATCTGTGAGAACAGCTGACGACTAAGTTTAAGACAACGCCCTCCACGCTCAGGTCTAACAGGTTTCCGAAGGACGCAAATGAACGGACGATGACCCATCGGGAACGTGCAACAAACCAGACTGCACTTCCAGTGTTATTATTGTGATGAACACAATTCCGACAGGCTTCATAGAATGTACAGAAACAAAAAAAACACCGGAAGAGAAACCCCCTGGCAGTACAAGCGGTCTTGCGCCAAATTCCAGGAGGAATGCCCATTCCCGTGTTCAACCGAATAAAGCATTTCGTGTGCCACAGTTCCGAAAAGCACAATTCAAAGGGTAGAACGCATGAATGCCTGACTCAGTGAGGATGGCTGTGTTGCTACCCAGGAAGGACCGTTGCGACGACGAGAGTTTTAGCAGACACAGTAAGTGCTGGCATTCACCCAAGTGCGTCTGTAAAGACCATGGCTGAAGAAGCAGCTTCCTTGTAGGCAGAACAGTCTGAGGAGGGACAATTAGCAACGCATCGCAAGCTTGTCTCCAGGAGCTCTCCGGTCGACGTACTTCAAAGCATAACGTGTCAGGGAGTGGACGCGTGGCAGTCACCTTAGGCAAAGCCAGTGCCTGCTCTGTGGCACAAGGGTTGAAAGGAGTTGTGCTTTGGAGCGATTTACAGGAAACCAAATGCTTGCGGATTGTTTAAAGAAGAGGTTGCGGAAGTCCGCAACAATCAGCCTGACTGCAGGATACTCTGGTATGGTTCAGCGTCTTCTGTTGACAACAAAAGACGGCCCCGAGGGCTCAGGTCGATCCCCCCCTCCCCCATCCATGAAGGTCTGGTAACCTCTTGTGTCAGCCGCGCCAGCGGCCATGACTAGACGCATGCGTACAGGCCCGACCCAATTGTGGCTGGTGTGCTTGGTGCCTGAGTGGCGCTGTTGGAGCCACTTTAACGTCCAAGTTAATGATATCTGACTACTAACCATGTGTGCCGTAAGGACAGCCAAGCCCACTCGCAGATGTGCTACATAGTGGGCACGCCTGGTTCAGACGCGCCGACTCTTAGCACCTTGCAGGCATGCACCCACGAACCAGATTGAGATGTCAACCAATCACAGGCTTCGACACAGTAACAACATAGAAAGGGACGACATGTGCCAGTGTGTCACTCAAATGTCACGGCCTTGACTCAATATCTCGACATATAAAGGTTGCAATCTGACAGCGTCCCCGCGGTCGACTATTAAGCGGAGAAGTGAACTGGCGTCACAAATGATTAGGGCGGTGCCCGGGTGTGGCTCAACCTGCTGCTTTTCAGTGATGGGGAAAAACCCAAGTACATCAGTGCGTAACCACTGAGACAGGTGAGAGGTGACAAAAGTCGAAACGGGAAAAAATGCGAGGCGAAAAAAGCACGCAGAGGAGAGGCAGAATCTGAAGCGGACACAACTAACCCTGCCCAGTCCGAGAGCCAATGCGGCGCTCGCAATTTGCTCCTGGGACATGCCGCCTGCAGCCGCGGCCATCAACAACTGTTGCAATCCAGCCATTGGAGTGATGTTGTCTCGTGACCCACCGCCCCGTTCAGGTGGGGCCATACTGAAGTTGGGAGAGCCAGCACCCGAACTCATGGCTGCACCACCACCCATTCCGCCCTGAAGACCTACAACACAAAATAGGGGAAAAATGCTAGGGGCGCGGTAGGGAAGACGATGTGAGGAAGAAAAATTGAAAGTAGTTAGCAAACAGGGTGACGGTAACTTGGACTTTATTCGCTGCCTCCCAGGATTCGCTAGAAGTGGCCATTAATCTGTGGTCTGACTGCTCCATGATGCAAAAATTATGATGGGCGTCGGTAAACAGCAACAGCAGTAAAAAAATTCAGTTGTTGTTGCTTTTTCCATTTTATCACGCACCGATTATCGGTCAGACTGTCGTGGGCACAAACGAACAGAAATTCTTTGGGCTTTCCATGAAAAAAATAGTATCAAGAAAAATACATCATAACAAATATCTGAGTCGATGTTGAAAGCAAGTGCTGACGGCAGTCGATTCTGGTCAGGAAAGCCTAACAGCCTTCCAGCATGGTTGGGCTGAGAGTCACCCAAAAAGGGTTAGTAAGGTGGTTGATTGAAGAGTCGCCTGGCTCAGTTCGGCTATAGTCCGTTTGCGATTGCGTAGCCAAGCTAGCACACTATGCAGTTGAGTCGGCAAGCGAAACTGGTGCACAAGATAGCCTACAACGCTGTAAAAGTTAGGACGCCACAAGATACCTATATTTCGAAAAAAATAGGAAGCCGGTCTTTTTTGATAGACCAGGCAGTAGGGACTTGAAAGACCTATAAATGGCTAGAGTCCTCAGACCGCGATTAACAGGAAGGACTGCTGGGTTAACCCAGTGGCTCACAATGACTGGGTCGAATTCACAGACCTACAGTTGTTCGTCCGGGCAGCTCAATTGAGATCACTTTATCGTGAATACCTCCGCGAACTTCGTAAACTAACGACAAAGTAGGCGACGGGAGACCAACGTTGCGACCCTCTTGGAGCACCAAACAGTAGCTAGGGCTACGATTCGTGCTGAGTGATCTATCACGACGAAAATGTCGCTCTTGCTGCTGACATGGGCTAGCACGAAGAATAAGTCACCAACCACTTCCTTCGAAACAGAACTGCGTCCTCTACTCTGCAGTGTATTATATGACCAAATGACCCTGGATCAAATCACTGACGAAATATAAGGGTCAGGCGGCACCAGGACGTCCAGAAGAGACGACACTGGAACTTAAGTTTTCCGTCAATACTAGATGGCCCTGACCACATAAGGCAACTAAGCAAGCGTAGGGAGATGAGAACTTGTGCGCTTCTTTAAGTGACGAAAAACCATGTGTGACATTTACCGCAGCAACGGCCTTGATAATTCTTATTACATGCAGGGGGAGTGGGACCCAACCGAGTAGAACTGAGAACCGGACGTGCATGCATCAGATATTTGCACTTTGGAGCGTCCCATGACGCTACCATGCCTGCAAACAGATCAGTCGACGCAACTGACTGGGGCATCTGATTTCAGTAAACTGTTGCCAGTGGTGTACTAAATGAAACTACTGTCATGATGAGGGCTTTCTACCGTCCCACTTCAGCCTGTATTCGCGCCTACCAAACGTCTCGAAATCAACGCAACTGAAGTGCACGGGTCACACCCTTATTTAACTTCGATGTGGACAGGATTTGTGGAAGTGTTGCAAGCGATTTTAATTGTTACCAGACAGTCGCTAGACTAACCAGTCGCCCTACTAGCGCATTAAGCTCCAGACGATTACGTAATGTTGCATCTAGGATAATGGTCATCAATTCGCCGCAAAACGCAAACATTCTCGGGCTGCGTCCTTACATCCCTCTAAATTTGCGAGTGAAAGGGTGACGTGGGCGGGGAGGGGGAAACTTCAGATGATTGCCAAACGGAACACCATTGGCCAGATCGGTGCCGCTTGCAGAGATTTTTTTGTAGCTTCAGAAAGTAGTTATGGTTCGTACGTGATATCTTCGTCAGAGTTAGTGTATACGGCATATCTGCCTAAGGAGTCCTCTTCTTGAGCTCTGAATTTGGAAAAGTAGAGGTAGAGATTTTCAGGATCTCCGCGTTCGGAAAGTATTCTGCGAGGCGGGCAAAAACGGGACGTCAAATGAAGCACTACGACATTGCTGCCAAGACCCAAACTACCCATGGGAGGTGCTGTAGATGTTCTACACCCTTTCTTCACGCACCCTCAGCTCAGTGACACTGTCCTAAACCAAACACTGACCCGTCACAGGAGGAGACGTCTATGCGGTTAACACAAGGTCTGATCTAACACAGTCCTTGTAAGACTCACAGCAGCTCCTGTACCTTCGGTAGTTGTTCGTCGCTGGTAACAAAGACAGTAGATATGACTTATCGGGCCCGTCGCCGTCAATCACCGCAGATGCAGGTACATTGTGACAGGCAATAGGCATGAACACAACAGCACGGAGTACTCATAAGTGCAAGACGCCTGTAAAATGAACACCACGTTTAGCGGTGTTTGTTCAAATCACTTTGGCGACAATGACGGAAGATATACAGGCAAAGAGGAGTGGAACGAATGAGGAGGCTCATTCTGTGAGGCTGCATAAAATCGACTGATCTGATAAGAGAAGTTGGTTATCCTCACCGCTGGTTGAAGTAATGCCCGACATATCACTTAATAATCGAATTCGGTGCTATTTCTACACTGCCTACCTAGGTAACCTGCTGCAAGAATTCCCTACTCATGCATGTGAACCAGGAAGCGTGTCTTAGTCCTGGGCATATTGAGGCGCAGTAAATGAATGTCAGGTTCTTTAATCGCCCAAGGGAAAAAACACGGAGCAACATACGAAGACATACCCATCAACTGGCTCAGCGGATTCATACCCGAATTGACACCGGACATTGGAAAGCCCACAGCGGCGTTGCCACGCTGGCCGCCGACCAGCATGGGGTTGTTCATGCCCACCATCATGGGAGGCATAAAAGAGGACTGACTCTGCTGCTGTTGTTGGCCCAGAAAGCTGCTTAGAAGGTCTGCACCCGAAGCGGACTGCGAAGGCGGCGGTAGTGGGGGGCGAAACTGGCCACCAAACTGGTTAGCGGCAGGCATATTAGACCCAGCACCGCTGGCACCTAAGAAGGCTGCCAGAGCTGCGGCTGCAGCCTCCGACTGTTGCGGCATTACGCCAGGTATGAAGGGTGACGCGCCGAGATTACCGCCACCGAGGGACTGGAAGGAATTCATGCCGTTGCCAGTCTTGTTGGCCAAGTGAGTCAGGAAGCTGGCTGCTGCTGCAGCGCCACCGGCGGTGGGTGGGAAGATGGGTAAGTTGGGTTGAACCTGTGCGCCCTCACGATCAATCTTCACACGGATCGGACGATCGTTAAATACCTACGAGGGGAACAGGGCGTCTCTGAATGGAAAAAACTCAAGTGCGAGAGGATGGGAACGGAAGGATCTTGAAAAGTCTCACCTGGCCATTAAACAGGATGTAGGCAAGGAGGGCTTCATAGGGATGCTCGAAGCGAACTACCGCAATGCCCCGTGAGCGCCCCTCCTCATCTTGTTTAACTGTGGCGTGAATTACGCGTCCGGCTACTTTGAACATGTCCTTCAGTCGTTTCCAGTCGATCTTGTAATCCAGCTAAACGGTGAAATGAGGCATGGTTTTTATCGGCAAATGACGTACATTACTGATGTACAAAGAATCTGTTAGTGGTCCCTTGATACCCATTCTCTCGAGCATCATGGGGGTCACAGTTGTCATGGCTGCAACCGATGGGTTAATGGCGCTAGCAGGTGCAGTCATTGGCCCTGGTGCAACAGGACCGAGGCCAATGCCGCCGGGGTTACTGGGCTCATGACCGACGGGACCATCAAATTCCATGTGCGCCATCCTCTCTTGATCGCGTAGCGTCTCCTCGCGCACGATAATTTTACGATCCCCAATCTCAAAACGGTTCATCATCTCAATGGCCTTCTCAGCACCCTCAATGGTCTTGAATTCCATGATGCCCATGCCATTCGGTCGACCATTGCTTTTCATAAGACGAAGAAAGCCAGTGAAGCCGACTCGATCGCGAAAAATTTGCTTCAGCTTGTTCCAGGTCACATCGTAGGGGATATTGGCGATGACAACCCGTTTGGAGTGAACTCGAGGACGGCGGGGAGAGTGGCTCCTCGAGCGGGAGTGTGATCTGGAACAGAAAATATACAAAAACAACCGAGTAGGAACAACACGATTACGGGCATGATTAGTCAAATTTATGGCTTTCGAGATGGCAACTTTAGATACTTCAGTTCTTTGAGTATGCGAAACCGGAATTTTTAACGACAGATGTGGCGAGTAGAAGTCCTTTGGCGAGAAGCAGAAAAGTCCGTGTTTAACGGTTCAACCAATTCAGCTACGAACAATTTATGTGTGATTAGTAACGGTGTGCATAGCTTGGACGGATTGAAATGAGGCAGAACGAAGAATAAGCTTAGGGAAATGGTAGAATAAGACAAAACATCAATCCTATACTAGATCATACTAGAATCGCAAACACAAGAATGCTAGAGGTTCGGATATTTAGCCCAGGGTTTAGTTACCAAGTGAGAATAACATTCTAGCAGTCGAAGCATGGGATCACGCTCCGACTTGTGGTCACAAATACTAAGCCAGTAATGCCTTTACAGTCTGAGCGGGTGGCACTACGCCCAACAACTAGGATATTGGTCCATTAAGATACCAAACTTACCCTACAGATTCGGGCTACTTCAGGATGATGCCACGGTGACAGCTACCTCCAGAGCATGAGCAACTCCAATTACGGGACCTAATATAACCTGTTTCAGTCGAAGCCACTCAAGGAAAAAGATGGTGTAGTGTTGATAAACTAAAGTCTGATCGAACAGCCCTATAAGAATGGACAATACAGTGGCGATCCTACAACCTTGGAGTAATCTTCGCCGAGGGTTAGTCATTGGTAATTGACACGACAATGACGATCGACTCCGTTTTATTAGGGCTAACAGGATGGTCGTGGCTCGCAGTAGGTAACAGTAACCGAATACGCCTGTCGACCCAATAATCAAATGACGGGAGACCGCTGTACGAACTGCTTACATTCTTGTGGGCAAGTGTGGCCCTTAACTGTCTCTTAATGCCTGGATTCGAGACGGGCAGTAAACATAGCTTGGACCACACGAGCCAGGCTGCATCTACGTATAGAAACGGTCGTTGGATCCACTTGGCCCTAAGAGTCTGGCGCTCATAAACCTTGATGTAACGAAACAGTGAATCATTTTCATCAACATATTATTAACTGCATTGTCGAAAAATCCTGACGTTCAACTGTCCGAGTTGAAGGAGGGACCTTAACAGAGGAATGATTACCGAGGTCACATCCTTGTGCACTTAGGCTGCAGTATGCACCAGCCCAAAGATTTGATCAGCCAGCACTATCCGAATGGGCAATGCGCTGCACAATCAGGGACTAAAACCCACACTGGCAGAATATGGTCTCGGAACTATAGCTGACCCCGTTGCTAGCAGCACGGGTATCTCCTATAATCATCTTTGGAATTCAATGAGAAACGATTCAGCGGTCGGTACAATCACTAAAACGAATGCAGGCTCCTAGTACCTTACTGAGCGAATGATTGCAACGTTTACGAGAGCACCTTACTGAGTCGCCGAGAACGCTACATTTGAACGCGTTCAGAATGGCTCCTGCGACAGCTGTCCCTGGGATGCGACTGTGCGTCGACGTCTGATGCTAAAATTCAGTTTCTGAAACAACAAAGCCAGGGACGTAGAAAACCTGCCAGCCGAAGTCTACGGGAGTTGTCGGGTATTACTTCTGGGTGGTCCAACGCAACGTTTTGCACACCAAGTCTATCCTAAAAGACTGGGAAAAGGTCGCTTTAACTCCCCTCCTCAAGGAACAAAACGAAACATCGAAATACAGAGGGGTGAGCTTAACGCATGTGGCCGGGGATATCTTCCGAAACCGCTTCTGCTTCAGCAAGAACCGGGAATAGGTTAGGCGGTCCTGGTTTTAGCAGAGGATGTGTCGGCCAGATGGTCAGTCTGCGGCGAACCATAGAAAGATAGCGTTCTATTCTGGCGATTAATGTGAACTCTGAAGAGCCACAAATACTGAAAGCATGAACCTAATCAGGGCTTGCTATCAGATCACGTGAACAAAAGTTTGAGCGTTGGGTAAAAGACGAGTGCTTTATCTTCAACGCCGGCGTATGGCACGGCTGTGTCCTCTAGTCATGAGTTAATTTCCTGGTCTACAACTTCCCACGACCAAACAGCCCCCCCCCCCCCGGAAGTCCAAGGCCTTGTTCCGAGCCTTGATTGGGGGGACAACGCAACCCACCGTTTCAAAATGAATACCAAGATACCAAAGTGTTACTGGGTGACTTCGCGTTGCAAACGGTATCTCATCTCATGGGTGGAGGTTTGAGGTGTTCTCTACACAGGGTCTCCACTGCTACCGACTGAACAATGTCAGAAGGAGGTAAACCGCTGCATATGACTGGCACGGAATTTGGTCAATCAGTTCTAAATGTGCCTGTGGTCCCGTAGTGAGATCCTGAAAAAGACAAGGTAGGAGCCACTTAGCTTCGTGGTTGCGAAACTTTGTCCATATGCGCCGCTGGCTCGGTAACGAGATGTATGTTTCGCAACTATCGCCTCCGAAGAGTACCACGGCTTCGGTTCACAGATTAAAACTCGAAGGTGCAACTCCATCGATGATTGAAGACGTTTCTTGCTGGTGCTGCGGTCGGGAGATGTCATCTCAGATGGTTTGGTCGCGTTCTGAGTGGGTCCGAAAGACGAGCAATCCGCTAGTTATCTTATCGAATCAATGCCCTGGTAGGCGCCACCGCCGTGGTGCTCAGCTCAGGTGTCTTCAGTGATCGAAATGATACAGCAACTGGACAACAATCAGAAGGTTAGGCCAAAGATCGAAGGACAAGAGTAGCATTGGATCGTGGTTCTATACATTTTGGGGTCAGCTACACCACAACTGATGTTAGCGATTATAAGTACAAGCAATGATAAACTAAATGATTTATTTTGGCAGTAGCAAGATGATATCGTCAATGTCACCGAGGTCAGACACTCCGCGCTGTAAAAACCACAAACCATACGGATCCAGTCAATGGCAGTTAAACAGAACGGTCATCAGAACGATAGACCACCCAATAATAACGATTTAAATAGGTTAAGCAGTTTTTTGCCGCTCACTCCTGAGTCCGGTGCTGGTGGTTTGAACCCCATGCAGCTGCCTAACCTGATGAGGCAGCCTCAACACAACTGGAAAATGATTAATATCCGCAATTAAAGATAGACGAATTGGTAGAGAAGGCCTTCGAAGTGCTTAGGCCGGTGCCTAGCTTTAGCAGAATTGACGAGTTCCCATTTATACTGCCGTCCGCCATCGAGGGCAAGGAACATACAACAAGCTAGGTCTGGCATACTTTTGGAATGCTGCGGGTACCTAAGATCTGCTCCACGAAGGTATCATCATGGGCCGATAGTTCTTGAAGTCTAGTCAACTTTGCAGTCAGCTTACGGAGTTCATGGGAAGAATGGATGCGAATTATAGCATTAGTTGCCTAAGCTGAAAACTGCAGTTATTGCGCTAATTTAGTCGCTGTGACAGCCTTGGGTGAATTCAAAAGAGGTCTGGGCTGCTTTCGGTTGGAAAACGCGGCCGGATTTCTATGCTCGCAGACTTGTGAGACGTGGCTGGCAGGGAGTTAAATTATTTACACAGTGGCGGGACCCAACGACAGCGCAAATTATTTAAACGGAAAACCAATGTTTTTGATAAGGCGTGCATAATAGATCAATGACATGTATGCAAGTTAGTTTGATTTTGAGAGATGATTGGGCAATGCTCATGGGGGTATGAAGACTCATTTTGCACACGCAATAGGGACGCAACGTTCGAGCACTGGTGCAGCAAAATGAGGACGTCTCCTATCTGTGAAATGTGCTTTTCAGATCATGGCTCGCACGATATCAATGCGACAAGGGTATCAGGAACAACTCTAGTCGACAGGGTCTTGCAATGTCAGTAGGCAACAAAGCAAGAGTTTTATTTTTGCGCTGGGAACCATTGCTACCAAGCACTCAGGTGTTGCGAGTTTCTACCTCTAATCAATGTCAGCTAATAAGGTGTACACCCTCGACGCTGGGCACTGATGACTGCCATCAAAAGTATCGGTATTTGTTGGACCGGTGAGTCACAGGGGTCACACCTAAGGCTTCAGGACAGCTCCCCGGATAGTGGCGCTTCTCCTGTGTAACATCTAAGCTTCATTCTGGGCAACGACCGGTTAAGTCAGAGAAGACAAGTGGGTAAATTGACATCTAACCGACAGACATCTCGATAAATCGGCCCACTAGACATCGACTCGATATAGTCTGCTATTATGGTAAATGATCGCTTACCCTCGAGGCAGGCTACCTTCAAAATTCTATAGATATCAGCTGATCAATGGACTCCGTTACGCAGCTAACCACCAGGAAAGTGCGTCACTGTGATGAACGTCGCGTCAGCGCAAGAACGATATTAGCCATATGTTAGGGTGCACTGCACCTTTTGTGAACAGGTTCCAACCCTGTCAGAGGCATGCCTCCGTATGCAGAAGACCGAGACTCAACAAGGGCTAAATATTCCTTAGTTAAAAATAAAGGACGCTTTATGATAGAAACTGCAACTGTGCGCACAGCTATTAATAGCTGTAGCAGCCATGTACATTCCAGCCAGAAACTTGATCGTCCAATTATTTGCAGAAACCCCGCGAATAATAAGGAATGGGAAACTGATAATTACCAGGACGGGCAAAATAAATGACACGCAAATTAAGGTGTTTAGAAAATTGGCACCAACCTTCCACTATGTGCGGAACTCATGCGAAACCGTCTCCACCAGCAACCTTGACGACTGCCAATTAGATCTCTATAATGAAGGATAAACTACGGCGCTGAAATAGTTATAACCCCATAGGGTTTAGGTGATCGACGGAATCGGCGATAGATAACATGACCCCTTCCAGGTGTATGCGAATTTTTCATCTATTGTGAAGACAAACATTAACAAGGTTTACGTCAGCTAGCTGATGGACAAATAAGCAATGGAATTAGGGAAGGATGCCCAGCAAAGGAAAGCTTAAAGCTCATTTCGAGATGGACTAAGATTGCGGCCTGTCAAGTCGGCTCGGATATTCATGTGTCCTTTTAGTGATAATAAGGATGTACGAGCAAGCAAACAGGCAGACACTGACTGTAAGTCCCAGATCAAATATTTTGACCGGCGCTAGTCCTCGAAACTTTCTTTGAAATAAATGCCAACATTGCCAGACGACTTCACCTTTTATTGCCAAATATAAAATGAAAATTCGCAGGCCCCAGCTCTTTATCCATATTAAAATATTTGCGCATGAGCTTTTTGTAACATTGTTTAAATATTTAAAAATACTCTCAACTCGATTTTCATTGGTCTACCTAAAGGGTTTGTATGCCAACAGAATACGTAACGATATATTGAAAGCATGTCAATTAAAACAAGTGCATTTACCTACCAATAAGTTTCTTTTATAAACTTAGGTCAAACAGCTCTGCTACGAAATGTTGTCTTTTAAGTATTAATATCGACAGTTAAAATACGGACATTTATGACAGCGCATTGGTGGTTTATTTGTAACATGGAGGATGGCAGATGTGCATTCCAGTTCAGCTCGGTCTACTTAAGTAAAATTCAGGTTTGCACCTTAGAACTCCATATCTGTTACAAGCAGCATAAGTATTTAGATGAATACGTATGGGGAAAAAGAAAACCAAGTTAAAATAGCTAGAGAAATGTAATCCACAGTCGAACTATTTTAGGTGCTAGCTGGATATCAGATTTACAATAGTTGTTGTAACAATCATTATTGGGAGTTATGAAGCGCCCACAAGACTATATCAGAACAAGGTTAGCGCTGAGTTGAATCTTACAGTATAGGCAATTATATGCAACAGTGCACTGTGCCAGTAGCCAGATGCACAATACTACTTGGAAATTATGTTTGGTAAAGTACGAAATGCTTATGATGTCCCCCGGCGATTAGAGTTTTCGCTCGCATTAGTAACTGAAATAAAATCCACAAATCCGAGTCTGATATCTTCCCCCTGGAGAGTTGAGGTACGGCTCGGACGGTTTCTGGGAGGGAGGGATACTCTTAGGTCCAGGTCGGTGTTCGTTTCCGCGTATGGAAGCTGGCCGATGAAGGTGGCTTAGATCGTGGCGGGGCGCTTTAGGATCGGCGCTTCCGGATATGTGGATTATTTATTAGAAGTGTCGTCCCGTCAGAGCTGAGAAGCGGGACGACTCCCTTGAGCGTGGGGCCGTAGAACGTCCTGAGTGAAGAGAAGTAGTTCTCTGTCTCTTTACGGCTCGCGTGTCCTTGTATCTCCTAGGCCTTGCGAACTATCCTGGCGTCCGGCATTTCCCACAGCCGTTGCTGCACAGCGCGGCCACATCTGAGGAATCCGTCCTTGTTTGCGTCTGCCTGGTGATCGATGCAAACTTAGCATGGCCTGCTCTTTTCGACCGGCCGATTGTTAATATCTACGTCTTGTCGTCAAACCAGTCCTGGAGTTGACCACGTAAGCGTCCAGGGACATCCAGTGCGGTGTAGAGATGGCGTTCCGCAGTTGGCACTAGAGTGTCGCCACGGGCGCGCTTTCACCTGGAGCTTGCAGACTTTTTTGTTGCCTGGTCAGATGATTGCTGAAATCGAAGTGACAAGCAGGTAAGTTCGACAGGACGGCACTTATCATGTCCAGTGGTCGCTTACCTTGTGGTCGCCTGTGTGGTTAATGCCGGAACCTCATCTTGAAGAGGACAAGGCGGTGGTCAGTCCAGCTGCTGGCTCCCCCGATCACCTTTGTCACTAGCGCGTCCTGCCGATCTTTCCACCAAACGAGAGCGTAATCGGGCAGGTGCCAGCGGAGGTTGTCTTCTCCCGCGTCGTCAGGAGGAGGCGGTATTCTGCGCAGGTTTAGAGAAGAAAGAGTCCATAGTCGTTGTGGCCGACAATTCCATGAGGACCTAACATTCCCCTTCAGGCACCGTGGTCCGCTTGACGCAAGCAGTGAAGTCACCAAGGATAATCGGCAAGTTCGTCCTGGCTACAGTCCTCAGGAGGGCGGTCAGATCCTCTTAGGATTTGCTATTTACTTCATCTGAGTTACTTATTGGGTGGGGGGAGACGTAGACAGTTATGCTGGTGGCAAATTTGGCTCCCCAATGAGGCAGGCCCGGTCTCACGAGGTGGTCGTTGACGTCCTGCGGCAGTCCGGGGAGTCGTCCTACGATATCGTTCTGAAGGGCAAAGGCGACCCCGACTTCGCGTCCCTTAGAATTTGGGAGGCCGTTCTAGAAGAAGATCTAGCCGACACCCACCTCCCCCAGTTGGTCTCGTTCCGAAAAATGGGTCTTGCTGAGACTAACGATATCCATATTTTGGCGTGCCAATTTTCTAGCGACAAGGGCTGTCCTCAGCTCCAGCTGGTTGCTCCTAACATTGTCTACATATTTCAGATTGCGAGAGTGAGCGGACCCATTCTAGGAGCCTTGAGTGTTAGGCGTCGGGGGGGGGGGGCAAGAACGTCTTGCCAAACATGCACGTGATGTAAGAAAAAACTGTTCTCTTATCTGCGACTGTCCATGATGATGGGTTTGAGTGAAAATCCAAAACTTCGGGCCAATAACTTTCTTGTTCCAATGACCGCATTTTCGTCTTCTAAACCGACTCCTGAAACTCGCCTGTTCGTTTCTATCGATAAAACTTGTACCAGAAGACGAAGATGCGATCACTGGAACAAGAAATTTATTGGCCTGACGTTTCGGATTCTCACTCGAATCCATCATCATAGACATTCGCAGATAAACTTTCAGAGACATTCGCAGATAAACACTCGCGAAAACTTGTACCGTCACGTCGACAGCATGCACGCGACTGAAAGTGCAGCACAATAGGATAGACCGATAGCTGCGCAACGAGCCACAGGGATTCAATTCTGTACTTCTCCCGATTTATCCGCTCACTAGACGAAAATACATGCAAGACGCCAACACAGTTTTGTAACAGTCCGCGTCTTTATAAGCAGATTACGGGTGCAGCGCAATTTACCCATAACGTATATCCATCCATTTCGAAGAATGTTCACATTTTTCTCAAACCTAGCAGCATATGATCAGACGGAATGGAGTCAAACCTGATCAGTCAGTGCATTTGACTGACTGGGGTTGACGACTTTTGCAAAAAATATAATTATCAAATGCAGAATTAAAGGTGGCGTTACACGACTGGTCACCTAACCACGATGCTGACAAAAGCAAATGGAAAAGGAATCTCACAGTACTAACCACCCTTGAACGAATGATGTATAAGATGTGGCATTTGTGTTCTCATAAGTCAACCCCCCAACCCACTGCCCATACGAAGTCGAAGCGCAAGAATCACTGATGTTGGTATATCAAGTCGTGAAAAATGTCACTTCCGGCGGTATGTTGGCATACGTATTTTGTCCCAACAATGCCTTATATCCCTGACTAGGTTTGTTTGTGAAGGGTTTTCGGAAGACAACGGGCGTCCACAGGGAATACAACGCATCTTATTTAAAGAAGCAGAACATTTCAGGAAGAATCATGATCGAGCACTAAGGCTGGGCAAAAAGAGAACTGCAGTATTTCGCACACCCGTGGTATAATTTCCCAGCCATACATCCATTTGAGCCGACCGCGTGAGTCTCAATGTCTTCCGACGCTCATAGACCATTCACGCAAGAAAGCTGAGTAACCTGACCGCATGCGGATAATGTGAGGACTAGCACATGGCGTGCGCACAAACGACCCATGTGGTCTTTTGTTAAACCCACCAGTGTCAATGAAATTAAAGAAACCGATAATGCCGTGCCAACTCAGAAGATATAGCTTAATGCCTTTAAGGAGACCCCTTGGTGCACAGGCAGTGTTTTGACCTTGACGTTGCACCTTCAACTGCTAGATCGATTGATGATTCAAGTGGTGGTATTCTGATAGTCACGGTTAAATTCCCAAGTAAAGAATTTAAAAAGATTTTAGCGTCTGGAAGTTCGAAGAAACGAGGCATGAACTCAAACAAGTGACCAAGATTGCCAGGCTCCGGTGAAGCCAACCTTGAGGCTAACCACGAATCATACATACGTTTCTCCAAAATTCCCTGACACTTTCTTTTGAAATAATACAGAAGTCATAGATTGCTTTTGACTCTGCTACTACACTACTGTAGCCGCGAAGCCAAGTGTTAGAAATGCCCACCGCCCCATAGTCACCATGCGCAGCAGGATCATGAAAATTAAAGACCTGATAAAGTCTGAGGAGCAATCTGGAGTAGCGTATCGTATTCCGTGCTAAAACTGTCATTGTAACTACACAGGCCAGACGGAACGCGTGATCGGACCGCGCATACACGAACACAAGCTGACTATGCGGTGAGACGACAGGTTATCACAGGTGGCCGCCCACACCTACGAAATGGGTCACGAGTTAAATTTTGCAGCCACCAAAAAAATCGCCCACGCCGGAAACAAAACAGACCAAGAATTACTTGAAGCCTGGGCCCCAGATTACAACACAGCCAATCGATTTATCGATCTGACGCCGGCCTACAGAACCCTGCGCAGTCATTTCCAGTCTTGCGCCATCGACCGCTAATTGGCTAACAAGTCATGTAACTGTCGCTTGTTCTGTTTTTACAACTACCTCTGACGATGAACTCCTGCACGAGTTAGAAAACTAAGAACAATAAACAAAGTATTCCGGTGCACGATTATCCTTTACTTATACAAACACCTGGATCTCAAGCTTTTGCCTTAATTACTGTTTCTGCTGACTCTGGAACTGTTTTTGTCAAGTTTTTCGCTCTCACATGTCACTTGCAGACTGCTGATCACTTGCAGGTTCTGCTGATCGCGTCAAAATCGAAAGAAGCGCCTTTTCTAGACGAGATAAAATGTCCGCAGTCCCATTATAAGTATTATTCGTAACGAACACAGTTTTGATATCTACATAGTTGTTGTTGTTCTAAGAAGTTCTCTAGTCCACATTAGTCATCAGTGACGAAAGATTAACCTAGAGCACGCTGGTCAATGCTAAAATAGACGCTCCCCATTGGAAATAATGCTATTTATTTAAATCACACATTCCTTATTAATAAAGCTTGCAGCAATTGACACGTTAAAGACAATCATACAGTGATTTTCATGCCCAGTTTGCGCTCAAACACTTTCTTTACATTTTTCCAGACAGGGGATCTTTTTTACGACGTGCCCAATCTAATTCAGGCAAGTTCTACTAATTTGTTCAGCGTACTTCAGCTTGACCAGCCCACCTCAGGCATTAGTGCTCGAAATTAGACAGGAATTTCTGTATGCAATCAACCGTATACCAATAGAGAGAGAGCAAAGAAGATGGGTTTGCAAGAGGGAAAACTGAATGCACTTACATTTGGGCTCATTCTTGTCAACAGCGTTTACATCAAAAAGCTGTGAACGAACTACGTTAAGACATCATGACCTCTAACCAGCAGGCCTGGCTTGTTTGAATCTTCCAACAATAAAGAGGGCCAAACGCCAAAAAGTCTATATGTTAGATATAGAAAGGGCATTCTGTTAGTACCTACTAAGAGAGATGGTTTCACACATCTGGCCTTATTTTTCCCAGTATCTTGAGACTAACACTCGTGCCTCTTGCGTTTGATACACCGAAAACCAATGCAGAAAGGCGCACTGCCACTTGCCCTGTAGAAGTCAATCAACACCCCTCTTTATACAGTAAAATTGTTGAAATTAAAGGTTATTTTTCATAAGGTCCACAATTTCGAGTTGTTTTTGGAACGGTGATGGAATCCTAAATGACGTTCAGACAGTAGGTAAACAAGTCCCCCAACTGTGGTAGTTGCCAACAGACGACTGCATAACAAATTTGAAGAGCAGCTAGAGCATTTGGACCACCTCTCACGTAAGATAAGATTCTTGTTCTTCCGACAGTTTCTTAATGTTTTTGAGGCTTAGTGCGTTTAGCATTTACTTCTAAATAAGTGTGGCTGGAATAAGAGGAAAACGGTTCATTGGGCAGAGGCTCCATTTGAATAGCAACGCCAGTTTGCACACTATGTCGTCCTCCAGTTCACTCTAGCCCTGATCATAGCCTATTTGACCACTCGGCAAAGTTTTGCGTATGCGGGACTGAGGGTGATTAGAGGACTCTAGAAGGATATAACGGGGTCAACATAAGGCCGGCTTTAGCTACTACTATCATGGGGAAATGAGAGGAAGAAAAGTGTGAAAAGTTCAAATGCCTACTAATTTAAATTGACTGTCATGCCATCGAACTGTTTGATGCAGCAAGGAAAACAGCAGAGGCCACTGGAACGGTGATATCACCTGGTCTTCTTAAATTAAAATTGGACAGTCTGCATTCAAAAAATTAAAACAATTCGCGCCTCTTAATGGATACCTATGACTAAAATGAGAAGAAAGCAGTTCGTACGGCTGCAGCTCAGTTAAACTAGCTACACATTTTAGCACAGTATGCCATCTTTTGGTGTACCCCCGTCCTAACCACTCGGTAGCTTAAGACAAGTGTAAACAATTTGAAGACGAAGACAGGCTCTCCGGAAGATGTTCATTTAAGTGCTGACGTTTCAAAGAGCTGGGTCGGCTCTTCATTGTCAAAGCGTAAAATGCCTTTAATCGATCAGAAATTTAATTTAAAGTGGCAGTTGTGTTGGCCGGCCTCATGCTGATCGATTTTTCCCTCCCCTCGCTGCCTCGGCCTCTTGGGAGATGGTTGACGGGCGTTTTGCCTGTGTGCTTTGTGAGTCACCACTCCGTCGAGGGGAGCTGATAGGACTTTAGACGGGCGGTCGGTCTGGCGGTTCTTCTTCTTCCTCACCGAGTAAACTCAGCGTCGGGCTATCTCCGTGCGGCCTTCTTAAGACCGGTGTGGTTGTTTTGTCCTGAGCTTTACGATTGTGATGACGTAGAACTTTGTAAGCTGAAGGAAGGTCCAGATGCCTGTTGATAGAGTGGGCATCGGCGAACCACGCCTCGAGAGTAAGCCGTTTTGTTTTTGTGTTGCGTCGGACTAAGATGGTAGCCCTCCGGAGGTCAAAAGTATGCCCCGTTTCTCCAACGTGTGTTGCTAGTTGAGAGTTAGGGTCTAACCTCCGAGTGGCCGATTTGTGTTCTTGTAGGCGAGTTTGCAACTTCCGCCCGGTTTCGCCTACATAGTTGCAGTCGTCCTCATTGTAATTTCTTTTATAGATGACTCCTGAGGTTTCAGCGGGTGCAATGGGTCCTTAGGTTGCATTAGGCGACGTCGAATTGTTGCTTCTAGTCGATAGGCTATGTCTACTCTGGTGGGTTGTAACAGTCGCGAGATCGCTTTAGAGACCCCTTTAGCGTAAGGAATGACCCTCCAGACTTCGGGTTGCTGCTCATTTGGTCGTTGTCTGGACGCCCAACAGGCACCTGGACCTTCCTGGAGCTTACAAAGTCCTACGTCATCACAATCGTAGAGCTCAGGACCAAACAACCACACCGGTCTTAAGAAGGCCGCACGGAGATAGCCCGACGCTGAGTTTACTCGGTAAGGAAGAAGAAGAACCGCCATAACCGACTGCCCGACTAAAGTCCAATCAGTTCCCCTCGACGGAGTGGTGACTCAAAAAGCACACAGGCAAAACGCCCGTCAACTATCTCCCGAGAGGCCGAGGCAGCGAGAGGAGGGAAAAATCGATCAGCATGAGGCCGGCCAACACAACAGCCACTTTAAATTAAATTTCTGATCGATTAAGTGCATTTTACGCATTGACAATGAAGAGCCGACCCAGCTCTTTGAAACGTCTGCACTTAAATAAACCTCTTCCGGAGAGCCTGCCTTCGTCTTCAAATGATCAACCCAGATATCTCAACTTTGCCCATCTAAAGTGTAAACAATCCCCAAGATGATGGGATGATGTCGTGGGTGGACTGTACCATGAGTTAACAATTTATTTGAAAAGATGCGGACTGTTTTAAAATTTGCTTTGTGCTATCTTGTATGCATTAGATCCAATTTTATTTTGACCCAGTTGGCACGCCAACCAGGAGAAATACCTACGTGACCTCTGTGACCAAAGTTGCAGTTGTCGTCCCACCTTGCTTTTGCCGTAATTGGAGTCACAAGCATGTTGTTGACGTGGCAGCACAGTTGCCTTTCATCATGTGAAGTTTTGACCCACTTTGTAGCAGTTGGTTTGAGGCGAGTCTCGTGATGCCTCGAATTTTACCTCAAATAACACTTTTACGCAAAAGTTCCAAGCTATGTTTGCAGCCATCTCTAAGTCAACATAAAAAAGTATCTCATAGTCAGCCAAAAATGACAGGTAGAATGGAATGACCACTTCTGGTTTATTATTCGTTATCACCCGCGGCGTTTTTACGACCCGTATGTTGACTTAAACATTAACAACTGACAGAGACTAGGCAAAGGTCTAAACGCTTATCTCTTAGATTCATGCACCTTTACTTCTGCTGCCGAATTCCGTAGCACAACTGCTTCATCTTCATCCTATTCACAATTTGTCATTTACAGTAAGTGGGCTAAATCATCAGATCTCAACAGAAATTCCAAAATACGTTTTCGTTTCGAAAAGGATAATAATGTAGGGTTGCAAAACCAAACATCGTGCAACATCATTCCATGATAATTCAGTTACCCTAGGACGCCGGCTCTCGAGCAAACTGTTTTGGTTGCATCCAAAAACCATACTCCTTAAAAAGCGACAATTTAAGTAGCATAAATTCTTCTCATTGATTTTCGAAGCCCTTAAGGATTCAAATATATTTCATGGAAAACATGCACAAACTATTCGTCCTTTTGTTTATTCAGTAAGACATTACGTTTTATCTTAATTTTACTCTCAAAGGAAGAGTATAATTTGGTTTTATAAAACATTTATAATTCCCGAATAATTTTGAACCCCGACCTGCCGTTACACTTGCATTCAGGGTCCCCAAACTACAAGCCGTATTATTTCCGTGTCCGGAAAAGCAAACGTTTCTCTACGGTTATAAAGAGGGACCATATAGGGTTCATAAAATTAAGCAGTGGATTTGAGCCACAGTGGAAAATGAGGCGACGATCTTTTATGAAGGGCCATTTCACGGCATTAAAAACCTCAGAATTAGAAACTTTTTAAAACCGAATTATATCATTCCTCCGAGTATAAAATTGAAAGAAGACGTAATTTTTTACTGAGTGAGCAAAGGAATGAATATTTTAATGCATGTTTTCCATGAAATATAATTGAATCTACGAAGGCATCGAAATCAATGAAAAAATGAATGGTAATTAAGTAGCCATTTTTTATGAATTATGGCTTTTGGATGTAGCCGAAAGGAAGTTTGTTTGAAAGCCGGTGCCCTCGGGTAATTGATTTATTGTAGAACTATACTGCACGATGATTAGTTTTAAAACTCTATTTAATTAATCTTTTCGAAACGGAAACACATTTCGGAATTGCTGTTGACATTTCATGAGTTAACCCACCTACTGTATGTCATTTTCACGCATATGAGTTCCGAGTTGACCTTACAGCACCCCGCTACGAGTATGAGAGGCCAGGTGGTTTGTGACATGCGCGGACGGAGGATGCTGTCCTGTCAACCACTGCACACGCTTCCTATACTGGTTGACAGAGAGACACGGACATTCAATACACGTATTTGTTTTTTTTCGGAAAATCACTTTTTCATGAAAAAGAGCGCGTTTTATATCTGAATCCTCTATCTCCCCCTAGATAACTGGAAATAAATCCGCTTTGACAGTTCGACCGTCGATTTCGACGATGTCCACCGTGTGCCCCACAGCTGCAGCAGCGGTGGGAGCAGGGACGGGCAAAAAGACATCAGCTGAACTATGAGAAATACCAGGCTTTTTTGCGCTCTGTGACATCTAGAGGGCCTCTTTGTTCCTCAGTCTGAGATTGGATTCCTGTCCTGCTATGCATTGGTTTTTTTCATAGATAAATCTGTTGTGCACAGGATCGAAGTCGTGTTTACAATTATTTAAAATTCAACATAAATAGTGTTTTCTGAAAACAACAGGAAAAATACAATGGGTATTTCTGATTTATTATTCGTTTTCAACAATGGCGTTTTGATTACCCGATTGATACGTTACAGATTAAGAGAGTTGCGGTGACTAAGCAAATACCGGAATGTTTATTATTTGAACTCATGAACTTTTGTTTTTTAAGGTGGAAGGTAATCAGTATTCGCGTTACGGTCACCCAGTGGCCGTTCTTTACACAATGCGGCGTAGAGTTGGTGTTTAGTTCCATCAGACATGGGCACGATCCAATTTCCAGTTGACAGAGAGGCTTGGACTGTTGGTAAACGTAACAGTTCTTTAAATATCGCTTCTTCCCACAAAGGAATCCGTTTACTATTAAAAGTTGTTGCCTGCTCCTAAATGATAAAAATAATCTGATTATTAATGTAAAAAGAGATCGGAGGAACAGGGAGAAATATCTGGCTGGGTTTGTGCTCACGTACCTCTAGAGGCCTACATGGTTCCTAAAACTAAATTTGAATTCCTGGTTTTGCGCGTCTTTTCACGACATAGCGAATAATTTGCAGACCGGATTTTTAAAAGTTAAGGATACTTTTTGTGTTTAGCCATGTATAGCATCACCATCATTCAGGAATAATTTTTTTAACATGGTCTTTCAAATCCCTATTCTTGATGCTGATTTCGGAGTCACTTGTTAGAAAATTAAAAAATATTTCAGTTGGTAATCGGCGTACAGCCAATCTGCTGCCTATACATCATACAGTTTTCAGGAAGAAAACAAGCGCTAATTTTCCCTTGTAATCGCGTTCAATACACTAAGACTTGGAAAGCCATTCACAATTTTCTATTTCAAGAAAATTACGTTGATCGTTCGGTGTTTGAACTTAGTGTTGCTTATGCTGAATGGCAGCTCTACTCTCAAGCACTGCAAAGAATGCGTTCAGTTATTTACTTTGTTCTGAAAGTTGTAATGCACACGAAATTCAACTGTTGACAAAGAATGCACAAATAATTTTAGGGATTCTCCTGGGCACAGAACCGAATGAAATTTCAAACGTCCTGAAGGCACGCTATAACCTCGCGGCTCAGTCAAGAATGTCGGGTTACTCATTCATTTGTAGTTGGTTACCAGCTTCCCGCGTTCCTTATCTTCCCAACTTACCTTCTTACATCACCGTAATCTGATCAGATATATCCGTATCGCTTATTTTCTTCGACAGAACGGCATGACAATTCAGATGTCACAATAACTGTTTCTTCTATTTTGGTCATTTATGTTTGCCTCCAACTGTTCAAAGTCACATCAGGCAGTTTTGCTGTCCCCTTGTCCACCACATCCTAGTATCCTTTTTCTCTTTCATGATCTGCGAAACGACCTAAATGCGAGTGTCGCTGTTGTGCCCTTATACACAACAGCAATTCTGATTTGTTGAAGCAAGGTCGGCCCCCCCACAGGTACTTCGTTAAAAATACCCACTGACCTATTTGCTTTCAGTGGAATCAGTTAGTGGGAAATTCCGAAACTTGTGAAGCGTGTACAGTGAAAGGTACACTGTTTTCACTGAATTCCTCCTTGCTTTTTGAAAGTTTATCATAAAACGATTGTGTTGATCATTCCCGGGTGGATGTTTTTTTTTTAGTATCTCTCCTACTGGAAAGGACAAAATCCCGTTTTTGAAATCACTGCTTTGCTTGAAAATGAAATTCGTTTTAGCGCCACCAACTTTACCTCCGGGCACGAAAGCGGGTAGAATGAATGCGTACGCTTGCTTTCCGATGATGGCAAAATTATGAAATGAATAAACCCTCTTCTAATGGCTCTCCTTAGGCCTATTTTCATTCCTCACGCATTTGTTGAACTGCCAGCAGTAACGTGTTTAAAACAGTCAAAGGAACATTCCTTGAATAGGTCCTTGTAGATGACTAATCATGGAGGTCAAACTGTCTGCCCAAGTTACCAGCCATATGAAGCAACTGCAGCGGGGTGGGGCTGTGCGGTTTGGTATAAGTTCAGAGGTATTAGAGCACCGCATGTCTCAAGCGCAGAAAGATGCCGCTTTCATTAGTGTCCGCTTTTCTTGCATTTACTGGGCTTTGCTGGGCAAACTCAAGTGAGTTTCTAGTTTACCCCACATTATTCACTGTAATTATTTTGTAACTTACATAGCCGATATGAAGACTGGCTGTGGACTAAGGTGGTTTACGATTACGTAAACGCCAATAAGAAAACCATGGTGCTTTTGAGCTTGTAATAATGACAAGGTCGTCCATAAAACACCCAAGCAATCAGTGTCTGCCATTTTTGAAGAATAGCTTAATTTCGTCACCTTGTTTACTGGTTTATATATTTACCGAAGCAGAGTAGTTTATTTCGTTTTAAATGGGGTCGCATAATTCGTATGCAAATAAACGAAGTTAAAGGCTCTTTTATCTGTTTATTTATGACGCTTATGATTTAAAACGTCGACTTAAATATAACCATGCAATAGCAAAATAACGAAAAACAAGTATGCATTTATAGTTCGTATTGTCCACCTTGAGGCTTGTAGGCCCTGTGCTGCCATATGGACTCAACAAGAACTCCAACTAAAAACCCTGGGATAATCAATTAGTATATTATGCAGGATTTTCACCATGATATTTCTTAGTTTAAAGGGAGGAATAATCCATCATCCGTAGACTTGTTAGCGGAGAGCTCATACAGTAAGGAACACTTTGAATAAGTATCACTTTCACTCAATTGTTAGCCCACAGAAAGAGGAACTTCCCGTATTTTTTAACCACGTGTAGTCTCCTGAGGACAGATGTGGGCAGGTATGTCGCAAATAATGTCAGTAATCAACCGACCAAACATACACGCAGTGCCTACAGCTGCATATTTGAAATTAGGATTCCAAACGCCGATGCGTAGAGCCTAGTTTAGGCTGTTAAATTATCATAACAGCCATCTTAGATAGTGTTTGCTCCTTTATGAATGCTCCCAAACGCAGGGAAAGTAAGACCGTGCTGGCCATTTATCTGCGTTACATCTGACTGTCTTTTTTGGCCATAAGGCAGTAAGCCCAAGAGACATATTGTTAAATGAACGGTTTTGTGCCGAGTACCCATAGAGGCGTTTACTTTTGTGACAGTTGACAAGAAAGTAAACGGATTTCATATAAATAATTCGGGGTTCTGGTTTCTGCTTAGTTTAAAACTATGCTACTTGCAGGCATAAACTTGTCTGAGACCATTTAACAACCCAGAACTCACCTAACACAATGCCTGGGTTAATCGAGAGGCGTGCTGCAGATGCATAGACAGCAGTTTGAGATTTGGAATGACTTTTTGCCATTCAGCAGAGCAAACAGGGCAAGATTATGTATTTTACGAATGAATTGTTAACCGGCGTATAGTATGCCATGCTGAAAAACAGTTACAAAATGCAGTTATCAAAGAACCTGGCTCGTTCTCATTAATGTCTTTCTGTTCGAGTACATTTTCAAAGGGTGAGCCACAATGTCACCAGTGGGCAAACACCTGAGTTCATACTTGTTACTTGCTCTTATGAAAATATACAAGTCCCAAATCTGTTCTCTTCCAAAATAAACGTTCGAGTTATTTTGGACGACAGAAAACTGCTGCTAGCACATTTTAAAATGCACAGAACCTATTCATAATGCTTGGATCACAACAAGACCTTCCATCTCAAAGCGTGTTAATTTGAGCTGTAGACTGAATTAGTAACAAGGTAAAAAAGACACGTATTGTGCTCGGGTTTTTCGCTGAGATCGACTTTCTCCCAACTTGAAATGACATACTCCATTCGTTTCCTATAGGCGATCACATGTCAGCAATTATTTTTTAAAATTCTAACCGTTGCAATGAAAATGAATTGACAACGAGAATGTTTATTTAACAAGGGTAGGGGGCGCTCACCGGTCGTTATTACGGAACTCACTCGTTCCGTTGAGCCTTACGGGTTCCCTCGAGCCCAGCCGGCAACCACACGGCGGCGCATGATTTAAGCAGAATGGTATTATTGAAAAAGACAAGGGAGACTTGTCTCCCATGTTTTTGTCGGTAATTCCATTCTGTCTATTTAACCTTATACACACCAAATTGTGTATACTATCTGGCCCACCGCATAAATTGTTCAACGAAAGTCTGAGATGTATTTTAGATCATAAGGGATAACTTTGGTGGGGTAGATGTAATTATTATCAAGCGGCGTAATCCTCGAATATTTTAGCTTCGCCAGAATTCGACACAGGAGGTGTGGACGATTTTGTGTACTTCACAATCAGCATTAGTAAACGGGTTGCGACGGCGCTGTATGAATAAGTATTTCATGCACTTAAAAACCACATGAGTGAAGATCGAAAGGTGCACATTTTTTAAGTAGAAAATTTGGACAAAACATTATGTATTGCGAAATCAATAAAGTGATGGCACGTTTGGCCATATTCTCCATAAAATGCATTTGAATTAATAAGTGCATAGAAAATGAATGTAAAGAAATAGTAGCACTTAAACAGTAATTTTTTACTGAGTTTTGTTAGTTAAAACGATTCAAAACTGCCACCTTAGCTTGAAATAAATATTCTGAAATGGGCCCACACATGAATTGATCTTTCTACACCGTCGTAGTAATCCCTTTTTAATCGGAAACGCATTTCAGAGTTTTGGTTAACATTCCACTAGGTGGGCTGTGTCCTGTTTACCTTTCGTTCTTTAGTCCGTGGTATTTATACTTCCTTCACGTAGTACGAAAGGCTGCGGCCTACAAGTTGGTAGAAAAATGCCCAAACTCCGCTGGCCAAAATAATTTCTCCGTCCGTAATACTGACCGTTCTGTGCTATTCAGGACTGCACTGAGAGTCCAAAAGAACGAAGCTGGCGAAACGGCTGTTTTAGTGACAAGCCCTGTTTATTTTGCTTTTCAGATGCTTCATTCCCCTTGAGCAAGCGCACCTACCAGTCTGACGATATGAGGGCTAAGCTTGTGGCCTATTCAAAAAACGAATTTCAGTTTCTTATGCTGGACCATCAGCTGTATTTTGTCAAGCACAATACCTGTGAAGCTTTGGACAAATCGAAGCACATATACTGCAAATATACTATAGGTTCGTGCCCTTAGTTGTACCCCAATTACGCTACATGTTGTTGACGAAACTGCATTAACTGATACGTTATCTGTCTCACAACCTAAAAGTTAGCTGAAAACAAAAAAAGTTTTCATATTGACCCAACTGTGAAAAACTCGGCGCCTCGGTGGGATTCGAACCCACGCAGTAAGGGGGAAGGCTTTAGTACAGCCAACGCTCTAACCACCTGAGCTACGAGGCCCCGCCGGACGACGCGAGTTTTATCACACTTGGGTCAAGTTACCCGCCCAACCTAGTGCAACGTCTGGAATCTACCAAATCTGATACAGTAAGTTGACTGCCCAAGCAGGATTTCCTAAGTAATTCACCTAGAATCCACCAGATGACTACTAGGCTCACGTAATTCATTGATATTTTGGCAGATTTTGAATAATTCATATTGACCCAACTGTGAAAAACTCGGCGCCTCGGTGGGATTCGAACCCACGCAGTAAGAGGGAAGGCTTTAGTACAGCCAACGCTCTAACCACCTGAGCTACGATTCTAGGTGAATTACTTGGGAAATCCTGCTTGGGCAGTCAACTTACTGTATCAGATTTGGTAGATTCCAGACGTTGCACTAGGTTGGGCGGGTAACTTGACCCAAGTGTGATAAAACTCGCGTCGTCCGGCGGGGCCTCGTAGCTCAGGTGGTTAGAGCGTTGGCTGTACTAAAGCCTTCCCCCTTACTGCGTGGGTTCGAATCCCACCGAGGCGCCGAGTTTTTCACAGTTGGGTCAATATGAATTATTCAAAATCTGCCAAAATATCAAAAAAAGTTTTGTAAAAAGCCGACAAGGACATGCCAATGAAATGATTCAATACCACAAATGATTACGAGTCACCGCCAAAATTCATTACCTGTAGAATAAATCCCAAATGAATTCACTCGGTAATGAACGCCGGATTTTAAAAAATAAAGTTGAGCCCCGGGAGCTAAAGAGTCATCAGGGTCTTACCCCACTGGCATTACTCTCTCTTGAGTTAACAATAAATATTCCGTTCTGTACTAAGATTCACAGTGTCAGCTGTAGTTCTTTGGCCAAATCTATGCTCAGATATTTTGTTTTTTTCAACCCGCGATGCTCATACGGACGGCTGGTAGTTGTTGGCGAGTCCATAGCGCTCAATTTAGCTCTTCGTAATGTTTTTAAATGCGGCTACTGGATGTTGGTTTTGTTCGCTGTCTACAGTGTGCTACCTTGTTCTTTAACGACCTTTGCCTCTCTTGTCAAATACTTAAAAATATTATTTCTGAATGACACTCGCAGTTGTGTCGAAAGGATTTACCACCTCTCATTTCTTGCCGCTATGCAACCACTTATGAAGGCTGTATTGGGGAGAATGAGAAAGAAATACAATTTAGTTTGAAGGCATGTTCAGCAAAACCCTCTTCTTTTACCGTGGGCAGATACGGGTTTAGCAGATACATAGCACCCGATAGTCACAAATTCGACATAGTAGTCGCAAACTGCAAATGCCAACATAATTGACAGTCGCCAGTGAATTCGGTGCAAAATTTACGCCGGATTGTTTTTCTTTCAAAACAGAGTTAATGCAGTGTACGCATGACTTCATGATCGTAGGTTAGACAAACAAAAAAGATAAAAGTCAGTATATGTCGAGTAAGATAGGCCAGCTTATGCACAATTGAGGCAAATGTCACGTGAATGAAGAACAGAATACATGGCAGATCGAATTCAAAAGCCCGTCCAGGTACAAAGTCGAACACCCATATGTTGTTATGCAACCTGATCAGATTTAATAAATACCTCTCCTATGCGGCAGTTGTAACTATCTGTATTTCATTCCAGTGAACGGCTTTGAGACTTTGGAGGTAGAAATCGAAAACCCCAGAAAATACAATCAAATCAATCTCTTTTCGAGAGTTGACTTCCTTTACGACCTGACTACCTTCCACCCGTTGCCACCCGAAGGTAAGAAAAATGCATTTTCCTGCATTCGTATTTGAAGATTGTTTTGTATATGCAGCGGACTACTTATAGAGGATAGTAGTTTGATCTGCCTTTTAGGTATTGGTCCTTGAAATTCGAGGCTACCAGCCGCCTGCACGTTGTCTCGAAAAAATCCGTTATGCCGACTGAGCAGGCCTCTGACAGGACTGAGATTCTAGTTTGCAGTCAGCAAAAACGCGCAGCGGTCGGGAATGTCAATAATAGGGCATTCACATGCGTCACAAAAAATTGACACTTATGACAGTAAATGGGTGTTTTGGCAGATTTGCATAATTCCTCCGACACACTCATGATAAACTGGGCGACCTCGGTGGGGTTCGAACCCCCAACAGAAAGAGCAAGGCTTGAGTGCAGTTATTATTCCAACTCCCTCAAATATGACAATCCAAACATCAGCCCTGAGTGGAATCCCATCTTGATCAAGGAACCCGCGTAAACCACTACACCATACGTGATCCGCCAATTAAACGGCAGTTCAATAATCGATAACGGTGATGTCTAACGCCTTCCTAACAGCAACGTTGGAACAGAAACTGTGGCTTGCCAATAGAAACGATAAGGCGAGTACCAAGAAGCAGTCTTGAAGAAGGAGACACGATTGCTAGGGCAGGTGCTTTTTTTAGCCCGACGTTTCGGAATCCTGCTCGAACTTATCATCAGAAACCAAAGCAGATACGGGTGTTTCTTGCACAAGGGGCTGCAGTATTTATAGGACGCAGTTGTCATGCTACCGCATACCTATGGATATTCACGTCTCCCCACTTCATCAGAGATCGTTGCACAGGTCAACAGATGCATACGCAAAAGGGACGAATGGCCCAACCGCAAGAACACCAAATTTTTGCGAACGCTTCCGTATGTCAAAAACGTTTTGGAAGCTGTCGGCCGCCTTCTCGCACCACTTGGGGTTGGAGTTGCACACAGACCAGAGGCGACCATCAGGTGTCAGGTAGTGAAACCGAAAGACCCACTGCCACGGCAAGAAAGGTCTGGAGTCGTTTATTGGATCTAATGCAGTTGCAGATAAAGCAATTTCGTCAGGGAGACCGGAAGACAGCTCCAAACGCGACTAGCGGGACACGCTGCAGCGGTGCGGAGAAATGACGCCAGCTCTCAAGTTAGGGCTCATTCCACTATATCCGGCCACACATTCGAATTCGGCGAGGCCGAAAATCTCGCCAGAGATGACAACCGCGTGAGCCGTGAGCTGCTTGAGTCATGGTTTACTAGCCTTCAATCCATTAACAATTGCAATGGCCTTTCGCTTCAATATTCGGTGCTGAGACTTTGCCTAGGCGGAGTAATTAGGCGCACGGGGAACGCACATTTGAACACTGTTCCCAACCCCAGGGACGGTGAGTCAGATGGTCGAGCAATTAGCACAACAACATGCAACGCACGTGATGAAATTGCAGCAATTAACGACGCCAATGTCGGCCATCAAATTGGCAACATACCAAGGGCAACGATCCTTGATGAAGGGGGGCCGTGAATAGTCATAGGTATGCGGTAGCATGACCACTGTATCTTATAAATACTGCAGCCCCCTGTGCATGAACCACCAGTATCTGCTTTTGTCTCCGATGATTTGTTCGAGCAGGAATCCGAGACTTCAGGCTAATTAAGCTATTGTCCCAGCGATCGTGTCTGCTTCGTCTAGACTGTGACTTGCGCGTGAATTTGTTTATGGTGATGATGATGGTAGCCCTGCGCCACAATTCCCGCGCTCCCTCCCTCCTCAATCTCACGAGCCCCGTTTTCAGAGACAAGTAGCCCGAAAACCTGATCAAGAGCAGTGATGGACAGATCCAAAAGTTGCGACTATGCAGACCACCCACGCCTGGTCTACACATAAACGATTGGGATTTCAGGTAACAATCGGGAGATGGCACCCAAAAAATCCGTTACCTATAAATAATACCTTTAACAGTGGACTCAAACGCCTTCAGGCTATATAAGCGGTTGCATGCCTACTTTTACGCACTTCTTGGACTTTCCGCGACGGCCTAACATGGGCCGGCCGAACGAACATAGCAGGAGGTTACATGGACGATGGTCGCTGTTACCCAACCTCCATCGTTAAACCCGTACACCTGAATATACGGAATACTTTCGCATTATGGCAGTTTGTTACAGAACAATATCACTTTTAAATAGGATAAGTCTGCATAACATGGGACAGGAACAGTTCCCGGGCATCTGTCAAAAAACATGGCATTGAGGCCAAACCAAATACGACACTGTACTTTGTCTATGTGAGCCCAAAATGCTCGTCCACACCCATGGCCCCCCTCATGGAGTTTCCTTTTCAGTCTACTCCAGTATGCTTCAATGGCATTGGTGTGCCGTCTGGTGGTAGGGACCTTGAAGTTCTTTGCGTGGTTAACAGAGAAATGTAGATAACCTTCTGGGGGAAGACGATTATACGCCTTCCACTCGTCCGTTACCACTATACTGACTTTGACGACCAATTTTTGTAATAACGGAACGGAGAGCGGGCCAACTTCGATCATTCACCTGTTCAACTAAGGCTTTCTGTCGGCTAGTATCGTACATCCCGCCCAACCATCACCCATAAAACCCCTATTACCACCTGTCCTGTAAGACAGGCTGCTTTGGTTAGGCGGATTTTTTGGGTGCCATCTCCCGATTTTTAACGGATTTCGCACAAACATGAAATATGAGGCAACTTAGATTCCAGCTGAGTGGGAGTGCCATAGAGACCACATCAGTAAGGATCCGTTTCAGTATCTCGTTCTCTCTCCATTCTGAAAAGATCAAGTCGTATCGTTAGTTGACAACCTTTCATGCCGCGACCTTTAACGCGCCATGATGGTGCGGACAGTTTAAAGTGGGGATAAAGCGCCGAGTGCCGTACTGACACAGTCCCCAGAGTTGACCTCCTTCTCTCTCACCACCCACAGACACCAGTCAACTGTCCGAGTCGATCAGTCATGTGATTTTGGGGTTTGATATAAGTGGTTAGTGGGTCTAAACAGGCCGTCTACGCGTGCCACACACGACTTTACTTGTCGCACGGCATACCAAAAAGTAAGCAGTTCAAGTCTCACATATACGCGTTAGAATGCCGTGGAGGGGACGTGAAGAAGTAGCCGAAGAATGCGCTTCTAACTTAGGTGAGTGTCGCCCGTTCTGTGCCGGGTTTGTGAGTGGTGTGTGAGTTGTCAAGGAAAAGTGTAGTGATCGGGTTCGTTGCGTGGCAGTTTATCGGAAGATGTCTTGTAAGTGCATGTGTCTGAGTAGGCCCATGCGATGCCTGAATGAGGTTAGGCAATGCTGGCTGAATTGTCGGAGGGCAACATGGGTAGATTAATGTTCATGGCGCTGGTTGGCCGGACTCTTTGTGATGGAGTCGCAAGTGACCGACCTGGTTAAGGCGTGATGTGCATTGGCAATGAAAATATTCGTACGATAGGTTGGTAGCTGATTTGTCGGTGTCAGGGCTGTCTGTGGCGATGGGGGGGGGGGCAGTTGACAGTGCTTGTGATGGCCTAGTTTTCGAGTGCGCAAACTAGGTTTGGCACGCCGACATTGCGGTGAGTGTCCCTTTCGTAAATGCGCATGCTGTCGAATAGGCCAACGCGATGAGCAAATGTGCGCAGGTATTGCAAGTAGTTGCACTGTGTATGGGGTGTATATGTAGTCTTGAGGCAGTGACCCGCCGGTCACAGAGCGACGGAGTCGCAAGTGGCCGATTAGGCCTCTGCGCGACATGCTATAGTAGTTGTAATAAGGACCGGTTGGGATCATGTCCACATTGTTAGTGGTGAGAGCGATGCGAGTGGCAATGAGGGATGACAGGACATCGGGAACACCCTCACCGATGGTGGGAGGGGAAATAGTGGTTGTTGTCGTCGACGCAGAGGCTGCGACAATGAGGTGGGAATTGAAGGTAGTAGTGGACGTCGGCAGCGACGAAGTGTCAAAAGATTGCTTAACAGTGATGGTGGCTTTCGTGGGCGCCGCGGAAGGGCTGGAGATTAGGGCATTTTCAGCGGCAGTAAGCAAGTTATCGCCTGTTGTCGCAATGGGCATGAAGACCAGGCCATTCCACGCATGGAACATCCGCCGACAACGTGGACATGTAGTAAATGGTGGAAGGTTGGAGTCGGGGGTTACTGGGGTTTGCAAATTGTGAGCCCCCATTTTGGCTTTGGAATCGGCTTTGTGGTTGACTTCACAAAGTGCCGCTCCAATCCTGAATGCTCCTTTTTCAGGCTGGTCGATCCTGGACGAGGTTCTTCCAGGTCAAATTATTGATTTTTAGATTTTTAAGGGGTTCACAGGGTGTCCTTGTGGTAATTTCTGGAATACTGAGAGCACAGATGTTCGTTGAAGGCCCAAACACACACGTTTTACTTGTAGCGGCTAAGCGGTGATGGTGTACGCTGAGTACGCCACAACTTCAGGACATATCACAAGTTGTTAGAAGCAAGACGCCATTTGGTTAGAACACTTAATTCTGTACAGAATAGTGAAGGGAAAAGTTGGCAACCGGACGAGGATGCGTCCAGCGCCACGAAGGCGGCGTCCGCGAGAGCGACGATCCCTGTGTCGCCGAAGGTCGCTGCTGCAAAAGTGTCGCTGCAGATTGTTTACGCTAGTGGTCTGGCTGTGCCCGCCAATGTACCAATCAGCGAGAGGAGGTGCGTTGATTGGCTCCGAGCTCACGCGAGGGTGGTGAGAAGCCTCGCATGGTGCAGACAGAGAATCGACCAGATGCGTGGCGAAGACAGTGAATTACAACGAGACAAATCAAAGCCGGACAGGCCTGCGTGCCATAACAGGCTGTCGCTAGGTGCAGGCGCTAGCGAGAGGCGCGATGTAGCCATTATGGCTGTCCACTACACACTCATCTGGCGCCTCTGCGTGACGCAGCTGCGAGCAATTTCACTCATCTGCGGGGCACCTAATATTTCTCGTGTGCTCTCGGGTATATGCACTCCAGTATCAATGGCGCCTCTGTTAATTTGTTCCGAAATTAGTGCGTGAGTTGAAGTGAATTATTTATCATCGTCTTTTCTTGCATCGAAAACGCCGTAAAAGAATGCCATGGATAGGTACTCATCATCCCTTGAAGAAAAAGACACGATCGACGGGACAAGAGCTTTATTAGCCTGACGTTTCGGATTCCTGCTCGAATCCATCATCAGAGACATAAGCAGATAAGGGTGGTTCATGCACATGTGGCTGCAGTATTTATAGGATGCCGTAGCCATGCCACCGCATACCTATGAATGTTCACGGCTCCCTCCCCTTCATCAGGGATCGTTGCACGTGGCTTGATGGTCGATATTCGTGTCGTTAATTGCTGCAATTTCATCACGTGCGTTGGATGTTGGTGTGATGATTGCTCGACCATCTGACGCGCTGACCCGGGTGTTGGGAAGAGTGTTCATCAGGGCGCTCCCCGCGTGGCCAATTTCTCCGCCTAGACGAAGTCTCAGCACGCTGTATTGAATGGGAAGATCATTGCACTTGTTAATAGACTGGGGGCCAGTGAACCATGACTCAAGCAGCTCCCGGCTCACGCGGTTGTCAACTCTTGCGAGAATTTCGGCCTCGTCAAATTTGAATGTGTGGCCAGAACCCGTCGAATGAGCCGCAACTTGAGAGCTGGCGTCATTTCTCCGCACTGCTGCAGCGTGTTCGGCCATTCGCGTTCGGAGCTGTCTTCCGGTTTCTCCGACGTAGTTGCTTTTGTCCGCAACTGCACCAGATCCGATAAACAACTCCAGACGTTTCTGGCCGTGGCAGTGGGTCTTTCGGTTTCATCAGTTGACGCCTGATGGTTGCGTCTGGCCTGTGTGCAACTCCAACCCCCAGCGGTGCGAGAAGGCGGCCAACAGCTTCCGAAACGTTCTTGACATATGGAAGCGCTCGCCAAACTTTGGTGTCCGTGCGGTTAGGCCTTTCGTCCTACGGCATCCTATAAATACTGCAGCCACATGTGCATGAACCACCCTTATCTGCTTATGTCTCTGATGATGGATTCGAGCAGGAATCCGAAACGTCAGGCTAATAAAGCTCTTGTCCCGGCGATCGTGTCTTTTTCTTCAATACTGCTTCCTGGGACTCGTCTTTTCGCTTCTATTGGCACTCATCATCCCTTTTCGCGCGGTGGCCATTTCAGCGCACGTATAGAAGTGCAAATTAATAATCAGCATCTTATGCATCGAAATATTTTACTCGGCAAATATGGCATGCAGGACACGGTTTCCTACAAACAGTCAATATACAACAAGCTTCTCCTACTCTGTAAAAAATATTGAATCCTCACAGATAAGAGTGTTAGTTGTTAGAACAGTAGTAAAACGTCAAGTAGAAAGCTGTGACAAATCAGACTGTTGCGACACTGGTATCATACCACCTAATGCTTTTTGAGGAATATGTTACATTTGTTCTTCCGTAAAATAAAAGCCAGGAGTGACATTCGGAAAGCACCCTTCTTGCAAAAAATAACCACACACGATAAACGCAAAGCAACGTATTTCTAAAGCAGGATTTGTGAAGGATGTTAAAGACACACTGACCGTTTCAAATAAATGAAATTTCTGAATTTTTTGTCCGACGCGTTAAAGTAGGAAATACGAAAATACAGTCTTCAAGTTATATATATAACCATTCACGGTTCTTCGAATTTCATCTTTCAGGCGCATTGATTACAATAAGTGCATATTTTTGATCGGCAGCCAGGCTTAGATTGATTGACGATCACCCTTTAATTATTAATGACGAACTTTAAATGATTCATATATATTTGTTGAATTAATTAATATCCTCGCACTCTGGCCTCCATTCATTACATCGTGTCAAATGGTTGAAATGCAAACTAAGTCCTACAACTATGGGTAAATCCACGTATTTTGGTTTTAGAACCAATAATTTACAACGAGAATACAGTTTTTGATGGCATCTCCTTGGGCGATGTTGAAGAACTTACGTTTGATTTTGAGCGAGATCAAAATTCGGAACAGTCTGTGAGTTTCTCGTCCTTGCATCAAAAATCTGTTTCATTAATTAATTTTGTAATTACTTATCAACGAATGTACCCTGGTTCCCGTTGTTCAAACCGCTTCAAAGTGTTAAATGACCAAATTAAGGGGTGGGATAAATTTGCACGCGACACTTTCAGAAGTATTGATATTGTGCCTTCATTCATATTGTCTTCAATTTGCTGTTTGCTATCTCAGAAACCTAATCAAGACTTTTTAATCCAAGTAACTTCCTATTGCCTGCCAGTACTACTTTAGAGGAGAGATTGTATAAATCACTGGTGGAGCAATCACTAATCATTTCGCCATTTCCACAGCCTAAGCCAAACGTTATGCAGAATCTTGGATATGAGGCTTATCCTGGTAGATTAAAAGAGACATGTTTGTTAAATAACTTGCAGGTTCACTGCTGGAGAAACGGATATCGACTATGTACAACCAAACTTTCTGGCGTTGTTGACAAATATTGTGGTAAGTAATCCTTTTCTTATTTATTTATGAATTATACTGAAAAAGGGGGTAGGGCATGAAGCACTGTACTTGAGACCGTGAAATCTGCACTTTTGACTGTCTTGTTTAGTTTTTCGAGAAAATAAATGTGCAAAACTCAAAGCAGACCTTTTCAGGCTCAGTCCAAGAGTTTGCATGAATGTTTCAGCTGAAATCCATCAACTACTGTATTAGCACCGCGTAATATTCACAAGTCGCCAGCAAGCAGTCAGTAGCATACAAATACGTGATTATTTAGCATACTGATGAGCCAGTCCCTTTCAGCTGCGTCAAACAGCTGCACAAGATCGAATAAACATCGGTGTCTGGGTTTTTAGCTAGTACTTGTACTTTCAGTTTGGTAAACAATGACGTACTTCTGACTGTTTTTCGTTATCAGCCATTGAGAACCCAGTCACTGGCTGGAAAAACTATCTCTGTGGCTAACCTCTCTTGACTTTCGATTGGTAAACCCTAGTAGATCATGGGCATATGGTCGAAACCTTGAATTGAGCGATAAGTCAGAAAAGCCTAATGTTATATTACGATCTGAAGAGATCAGCTGGCATAACCTTAAATATCTTAGAACAAAACATCCATGTCAATGTTCGGAATGCGAATTCAATAGCGCTTGATTTAGACACGATCTAATCAAGCGCGATAGGAAGTACAATCAAGGCATACTGACGACGCAATAATTTTTATGATGAGTTCATTGTTCTCATATTAAGAAGAGGTCGAAGCATTTTAATCTCCAATGGCCATAAAGCCTGACACACGACCGTTGATTAGTTGTTGTAAGTACCTGTTTGCGGCAAAGAGTCTATGTAGGTTGAGGGAACTGGTTAACAAGCGTAGACATTAACTGGCAACATAAGCTTGCAGGTAGCAATAGCTATCGCGTAAAGAGTCGAGATTTTAACATTCGAGAGATCGAAATCATGGACCAAAGAAGACAATCGGACAGGGCCACGAGTCAGCTGTTCAGTCAGCCCCAACACGCCCAACTCTGTAGCATATAAACAATATCGAACTGATTGTAAATAAAATTGCGGAAAAATGCATTTTATTTTCCAGACTCACATTCGAAGTAACGATGGGGGTAACATAACTTGCGAAGACCTGTGAGCTAGTACAACTAGGTAGTGACCAGTGTTGTACATTATCAGATACTTGTATAAATCATTATTCCGACCCTGATCCGTTTGCGGCTTTTACTGGACACATTCTAAAAGCCGTCAATTGGCACCTCGATAGAGTTCGTTTTTTTTATTGCCGTGAATTTATAATAAACTGTCCGACAGAGTCAGTCATTCAAGAACGGAAGTCTGCCATCCTGGTACAGACTATTTTTATGTCAAGGGGGTCATTCCATGGCGAAAGGACAGGTGTGTCGACTTGCCAAAGGCCGACAACTTGATATTTTCTAAGCAGTAGTCAGTGCAATTTGGACAGCGTTTAAAGTAATGAGGAGGCGTACCGGACTCAGCAACCAGCGTCGGAAAGTGTTCATTCAGACCCATTGCCGGTCGTCCGGGCTGGTAGCCCAGCGAGATGTCCATGCGTGCGTCTGGGTTTTAC